AGTTATGGAATTTTTGTTGAAATTAAAAAAAATGGCTGCTCCAAGATGGCGAACAAGATTTGGTCCGATTCCATTCAAAATTTGTAAGTGGGGGTTTTTGAGGTCGGAGATCATGATTTTTTTTTTAAATTTATAAATTCAAGATGGCTTCCAAATAATTTTTTGTTTTTGTATAAATAAATGACGATAACTCCGTTGTTTTCAACACAAAACTATTACTGCGACATATCATCTGTAAGAGAAAAAAAAGTTATTTGTAACTAAGTCATAGTGAGCTATGACCTACATTTGAAAAACTAAAGTTGGTGCTGATATCTCAAATTCTAGAAGAGTTGGTATAAATTTCACATTTTTTTCGAAATCACTTTGAAAAACTGCCATGAGAATGTGAAATTCCTATTTGAATATTTTCATAAATAAAGAAGTTACGGAGAAGACATGAAAATGATCAAAATCTGTTTTTTGCGTATAAAACAAAATTGAATAGATTTTATCAAAATATTTTTTCACATTATAGTTGGCCTTGACAAACTCCACATTTGGTGTCATTTAACCGACCTCGTATCTCTCACCGTTAAAAAGATACCCATGGTGAGCATGGTAAGTGGGACACACTGTACATTGTTTTTTTTTAAATATGAAATTAGTTTTTAGAGCTGGTATACCTTGAAACCCCATTGTACTAGTCATAACATCTTTTGTGTTTGCTCTAAAAACTAAGGTATAATAATAGAGAAGGAAAAAAATTTACTCAAAGACATGTTATCTTTTGGGTGACTCGGTTCAAATTCCAATTGATATTTTTTTATGAAAATTTATATGAATCAGGTACACTCTGAAACTTCCATATTTATTTGAAGCTGTGGGTTTGTAAATGCAGCAATACAGATATAACATTTGAAACTATATTGATTGAAAAATGAAAGTGCCTTTGACATTTATATACTTTTAGACACTCCTGTCATTTTGGGAAACAGCAATGTGGAATGAATGTTTGGAATAGCTTTTTATATCAGATGTACTTTTTATGTACCTATACTGTGTTTAAAAATACTCAGGCAGGTTTAATTTGTTTTTCAATGTATTTCTCTACTTGGAAGATCTACATATTAATCTTTGATTAGTTGAAACATATCATTTTGATTCCATGTCCATAAGTAGGTGATGTAACATCAAGAAAAAGTAGCTATTTTACAAAAATGAACAATGGAAAACCATTGTGAAACTGTATTCAATGAAATGTTGAATAATTTTTCAAACTATTACCACAGTCTGAAAGTATGATTATTCAGTATAGAAACAAATTCTAGTATTTTCTTCTTAATTTCAGATAGCAATGTCAGCAAAATATTTAAAAAATCAATCAGGATAAATTGTTTTCTGATATTGCTGGTAATTGGCCAATACATACAGGGTGGCCCACGGTCGATGGTACCTTAGACGTATACGGAAAACAGTACATTAGATTATCCTGAAAATTTGGTTACTCTAATAAGCGTTTGTGATCTAACGATTCAAAATATTTTCAGCGAAGCAGCGTTGCCACTTTTACCAAAGAGTAGCATCATCTTTGTTATTTCAAACGGAACACCCTGTATTTTATTGCGTTTTTAGATTCTTCTCGAAGAGCTGATTTCATCAATGCATCACACTTGGGATCTAGCGGGGATTATTGCAGAGATATAGGGTGTTCAAAATCGAGATTTTTCAACTTTAGGATTTTATTTGTGTCGAAACTATTCATCATTAGTCAAAACGGCTCACATGTCCCTAAATTAACTTTTGATTAACTATCTACCGACATTTAATTGGAAAAAATACAGGATGGTCCAAGATTCAGAATTTTGATCACCCTGTATCTGTTCCAATTAAATGTCAGTAGATAGTGAATCAAAAGTTAAGATAGGGACATGTAAGCCGTTTCGATCGATAATGAATAGTTTCGACACAAAAAATTCCTGAAATTGAAAAATCTCGATTTCGAACACCCTATATAATAGGGTAATAATTCCTGCTAGACCCCAAGTGTGATACATTGATGAAATCAGCTCTTCGAGAAGAATCTAAAAACGCAATGAAATACAGGGTGTTTCATTTGAAATAACAAAGATGATGCTACTTTTTGGTAAAAGTGGCAACGCTGCATCGCTGAAAATATTTTGAATTGTAAGATCACAAACGCTTATTAGAGTAACCAAATTTTCAGGATAATCCAATGTACCGTTTTCCGTATACGTCTAAGGTACCATCGACCGTGGGCCACCCTGTATATTGTATTTTCAATGTCTAAAAAATCAAAAGGCTAAGTTGCAATACAAAAAAATGTCAGTTTTGTTATGAATGTAGTATTGAAGTAGGTATCCTATCAGATGCTTTTTCCTTTAAACAATGTTTATTTACATCAAATATCCCAAGGTTCATTCACACATGGTAATTCAAATTTGTTAAATATTTTCAAATGTTTTACATTCTAATGTTCCTGTCTCTCATGAATGCGGTTCAACAATTTTCAAAAAAACTGAAAATAGCTGAATAACCTTTTTTTTTTCATCCGAGTTTCTCTATTTTGTGGATTTTAATATTAATATACCAGTTAATTTTAATACATGAAATTTTGAAATGGTGAAATATATTCTAAATCCAGGGTAAACATTTTGTGTGTAGTTATTTTTATTTCTATAACACAGCTTTTATGATATTGTATATATTTTATAGCTAGAAAAATGTTTCTGAATAATAGTTATACTGAGGAAAACATCAGTTTGTTATGACTTTGTTAATTTATTAATTTTACTTGTTGAAATATCCACAAGTTTTCAGTTATCTATACCTAATTAAAATCTTGTCTCCTTATATCCTTTTTGATCCTAAATTTTTAGCATACACTGTTCTAAAGATTTTTCTCAATTTTTTATTTGTTAATTACTTTTATTTCATTCATTGTTTTGATATTTGAAGTTACTATGTTTTATTTTTTTTTCCTGTAAATAATTTTCTCCCAATCAATATGTTATACTGTACAAAATTATCGTTGATTTTCTCTAGTTAAAACGTCAAGTTATTATCAATTGTGATTATTTTGACGTATAATGCCTTCTGAGAGAAAATAAAATATTTTCTATAGATCTGTTTTTTTCTGTAAATGACCTCATTCCCGAGTTTATATCAGGTACATAAAATCCAGGATAAAGACCAAAAAAAGACTGGATTTTTTATATTTATTGCATGTGTATTCTTGAATCTTTCTGTTTTCATTGACACTTATATTCAGGACATAAATTGCTGGATAACCACCGTATGTAACATTTCGAAATTTATATACCGATTCAGTCACATAGCAGACTGAATTTTGCCACCACGAAAAGCTATACAGGGTGGACAAAAAAATAATCTATGCATATTTTCAACATTGACACCCTGTATCTCAAAAGTTAGGACGCTTACGACATTTATGTTCATAGACATAATGTTCATATGAAGTTTTATTCTTGAAATTAGCATATGCTACAGGGAGTTCCTTAATGAAATATATCATTAAGGAACACCCTGTATAATTTCCACTATTATTTGATCAGAAAACAATAACCTCAAAGTTAAAAGAAAATATGTGTTTATTAGTTAGAGCTAAAAAATATTCCTAGTAATAGTAATACAGAAAAGATGAGTAACTTTATTTTAGTTTTAGGCAGTACCTATACAGGGTGTTTCATTACTAATTGGAAATATTTCAACCGTAGACTCCCGAACTCAAAATATGAAGATTTAACCCAAATCACCTAAATAAAATATGTGTCCTGTCTGAGAGACAGGGTGTTTTTATTCAAAAATTTTGAAATGTTTTTTGCCCAGTTCTTCAAAACCATTTGACGTATCACTTTCATATTTGGAGGGAAGTGTAGGTATTATACATCCAACTGAATTATGTGAAATGAACTTTTCTAGCTATTACCAGAGGCGTACGACAGGGGCAAGTGACTGGTTGATCCTTCCCAAATTCTACGCCACTGACGGAATTGCAATTTTATCAGAATTTTTCGATTTTTTAATACTTCCTCCGTAAATATTGTACTCTTCCTTTATAGCGATAAAGTCATTATTTTTCGAGATATTTCAAGTTAAACATGAAGCAGCACAATTATTTTGATTTTAATGTGTATCAATAATGTCGATATTTTGGATCAATGGACTGCATTCATCAATCAAATGAAACTTCAATCCATATTAACATAAAAACATAACAGACGGGATGTGTTACAGGGCGTTTTAAATTTATTAATATATTACATAATTAAACACCCTGTAACAGCTCCTGCCATGTAATTATGTTTTTATTGTTAATATGGATTGAAGTTTCATTTTATTGATGAATACAATCCATTGATCCAAAATATTGACAAAATTAATGCACTTAATTTGAAATCAAAATGATTGTGCAGATTCATGTTTAACTTGAAATATCTCGAAAAATGATAACTTTATCGCCATGGAGAAAGAGTACAATATCTACGTCAAAATTCTTGGAGAATCGAAAATTTGTGATAGAATTGCGATTCCGCCAGTGGCGTAGAATTTGGGAGGGATCAACCAGTTAATTGCCCCTGTCGTACGCCTCTGGTAATAGCTAGAAAAGTTCATTTCACATAATTCAGTTGGGTTTGGGTGTATAATACCTACACTTCCCTCCAAATATGAAAGTGATACGTCAAATAGTTTTGAAGAACTGAGCAAAAAACATTTCAAAATTTTTGAATAAATCACCCTGTCCCTGTACCTCAGACAGGAGACATATTTTATCTAGGTGATTTGGATTAAATCTTCATATTTCGAGTTCGGGATTTTATGGTTGAAATTTTTCCAATTAGTAATAATAATAACCTCAAAGTTTAGAGGATGGTAGAACAATAGAGCTAAAAAATGTTTCTGGTAATAGTACAGGAAAGATAACTTCACTATATTTTTAGGCAGTACCTATATCTGGTGAACAAAAACTCCTTAGAATTCCATTAAATATATATTTCAATAAAATTTATTCCTTCTAGAAAAACTGGATGATTATACCACAGATTATACTATATATATTATATATATATATATACAAAATCAATAATTTAAAAGACTTGTACAATATTTTGAATGATTTATTCAATTTATTCCTGAATTTGTCAGTAGTAAATCACAAAATGGTATGTACATTTGTACAGTAGGTTTAGAAAGCCAAAAACTTTTGAGAATGGGTTCAAACTTCTTCCAAGAGTGAATATGAATCCTCTTCCTTGGCTATCAATGTCTCAATGTTATAAAAAGATGCATGCAGAGTTATGACAACCATAGAAGCACCAATAACCCAAAACATTGCACCATGAGCTCCAACTAAATAATATATTGGCATAGAACATAGAGATACAAGTCCATATTGCTGAGCCAGAGTCAACTCTTTTCCAAATAATACTAGTTTCTTTTCTGAATGCCTTTGATTGAGTCTATAACCAGCATAGAATGTTCCAGCCAATGCCAGTAGAACTAGAGGTGATGTTAATCTAAAAAAAATCAATTAAAGATATCTGTGTTCATTTCATCTTACCAAACAGTTCCAGTAGGATCCTATACTCACAAACAGTAAACAACAAGTCCAAGAAATACAAACAAGTAGTTGGCTTGAAAATACTCAATATTACGCATAATTCGTTTCCCCAGTCGTGGCACTGAAGGGGGCGCTTTGAAGTTCGATGTCTGGACGAAAACTAACCAGGGTCTCACATTTTGTCTTTGTTGACTTATCCATTCTTTTGGATCTGGTAATTTTGTTGGAATTTGTAGGAAACTAGGACATCATAGATTATACAGTGAAAAAATGATATATTGAGGTTGTTACCTTGGCAGTCTACTTTTCTCCCCCAAACTTGGAATGGGGTCCATCTCTCCAGATACGTCTACTTTAACATCAGCCATTATGGCAGTTGATATTGCAGCCTAAAGTGGAGTCTGGAAAGTTGGGCTGTGAATAAAAAAAACAGCTGACGTGTTTTGATATTGAATTTTATTAACAAATTCTTGAAATCAACCAACAACATAAACAATAACAAATTAGTTGTCAATTATTTGACATCTGGAAGGTCAATTTTCATGATCTACATATGTCAATGTCAAATGTCATAGCTGTCTACGTTTCTCTTCTAGTTATTTACCAAATCCAAATTCCCTAGTTTTCTAGGAAGTACCACAGAACTATAATTTGTTGTTGTTGCACTTATTGCCATATATTAAACACTCTTGTTGCCCTATTCTGGTTTACGTTTCGCTTTGGATGACTAGATACTCAATTTTGTTTTGATGAGTTTTCTCCTTTTTTCAAGATTGGTGAAACTGAAGAACTGATGAATATTTTGTAGAGGAAGGTTCCCTCGATCCCAGTAAGATCGAGGGAACATCCCACACTCTATAATTACCCTGTGGTGTACACATGATCCACAGTATATGAATCATTTTGAATTCAAAATTCTCGAAAAGAAGATGTTTACTAATGGCAGATCTTTTAATATACTTTGTACCCTAGATTGTTGATGACTCTGTAGACTAAATTAATTTCACCATTTTCACCGCATTATTTCCAAGATGAAAACTGATAAATCGTAATTGAAATAGGTCGATTTTTCATTCAATGATCTAATATAAACTAACTTCGTGTGATGACTTCTCGGTAGTTTTTTGATTGGTATATGTACCTTTTTTTCAATCTTCGGATTTTTCCTGTTCTTTCAGCTTATAATGGATTCATGCTGTGTCACTTTAAAATCGTTCATATTCGAAAGATGAACATTTTTGACTTCTTTTATTTTCTGACAGAAAATGTCTGATTGAATAGCTATCGATCGAAAAAAAAATCATGAACTTAGTTTTCAAAATATTTCCAAAGTAAAAACTGTCCATGAAATCCTGATTCGCACAAACTGAATAATAAAAAAATCCCATATGATGTGGACTTCAACGTTGGCACTATTATAGCTAGAGTCCCTCGCACTATATATTAAATGTCTTTTCAGCCCACCCCGTATACCTACTATCGATAATAATATCGGATTTTTAGTCATACTTGTTCGGTGTTCGGGAATTAATCGGTTGAAAGTATGACGTAACTAATTAGTCATTAGAATTGTGAATCAAGCCAATCATCAGTCTCGTTATAGATTTCATAGGGTACGGTCGATTCAAGTGATGAATAAGAAGTCGGAATTATTCAAGAGTGGAAAATTTAAATTCCTATTCGTTTTAGTGATTGCATTTTCATTTGAGTTTCATGTGAAAGTTGTATATTTTCAAGATGGTAAGTGTTTTTGTATATGAATACGGAAGTATTTATCACGTAGTTGGTATTTTGCTCCGATATATCTCCATATACAGGGTATGTCACGATGAGCTTACTCTATATTTATATCGAGAATCAGTGGTGAAAAACCCATGAAAATGTGCAGGCTTATATTGCAGAATACGCTCTCTGCTGTATTTGAATTATTTCCGACAATGCAGTGTTGCCACTAGAAAGTACTAGCAACATTGATACCAACTTCAAATAGAACACCCTGTATTTCATCGCATTTTTAGATTCTCCTTGGAGAGTTGATTTCATCGATATATCACACTTGGGGTCTATCGAACATGATTACAGAGATTGTGTTTCAATGTTTCACAGCGTTAATCTTCTTTGGTTTCACCTTCAGGGTCGGTCATCTGATAGTTCTTGCACGCAACCCATGTTTTACCAATGTTTTACCTCCAGGGTCGGTCATCACAGATCTTGCACGCAACCTTGAGGTTGACAATGTTGACATAAAAATTAAATTATCATCACTTCTACCAACCTTGTTTTTTCACTTTGTGACGCCATCTAGTACCAAAAAGCGGTACTACATGGTTAGTGATCTCTTCGAACGGACGATCGAAATACTCGAATACTCCATTCATTCATATGATGTTCATATGATATTCAGTTATTTCGACCGATTACTTGTCTAAATTCTATATTTCATATCGTAAAACTCGGAGATTATGAGTTTTTGAATTTGGCGCATGAAAAATCGAGAGGGCGCTGTCATCGAACAATGAAATCTTTCGTTCAACAAATGGGATTGAATCAGCCATGTTTGATTTGTTTTCTGTGATCTGATTGGTCGAAATTGAACGCAGATGCCCGAATTCAGAAATTAACCGTTTTAGGCAGTGAACAAGAGCGTGTTGTTTATGTGAAAGTTTAATAATAAATATTTTTTGTGGATAAACTCGCCAAAAGAAGTGTATTTGAAATAAAAACTAGAGATAGGTGAAACTTCGATACCATTATGTCTTTCGCACGAAGTTTACAAGACGAATTACGAGAGCCCGAAGATTTTGACTCTTCATCAGGCTGTGATTTATCTTTCGAGTTGTCTAGTGACAATGTCGGAGAAATGATGCCCTTTTTCAGCCCAAAAGCCAGCCATGGACCAAGAAAATTGGAATTTTCTGGATGTGACAACAATAATGGAACACCTGGACCAAAGAATCAATCATTCAGTCCCCCATACAAAAGGGTTAGAGCCCTAAGGCTATTCGATAGTCCTCTCACACCAAAGACTATCATACAGAAATCCTCTTCTACCACCCCTGTACCCAGAAGCAGGCTCTTTGGTGATAAACCCAGAGCTGTGGCTAGTGCATATGCTAGAAGAGAAGACAGACCTACAGCTAATGTTAATCCATTCACTCCTAATGGTAATTTAGTTTTTATAACTTTTTGGATTTCTGATAGAAAATTCATTTTCAGGTATGCTGCTATCAAAAAAACGTTCCAGGTCAATCAGATCCCTGGTGGGTTCCCCAGATATTAAACCACCAAAATTTGATCTGAACGAAAGTGATGCTTCAGATATTGAAATTGAACAACCAACAAAGAGAGTTGCTCTACAAGTGAGTAACACATAAATGATTTGTGAAATGTTTTCCAGGTTGATAATCCTTGATTTCTAGGAGAATAATATTTCAAGATACCATCAGGAATTCTTAGAGTTAGAACTTATAGGAAAAGGACAATTCGGATCAGTTTATAAATGTGTTAATAGATTAGATGGCTGTATTTATGCTGTCAAAAAATCTACTAAACCTGTAGCAGGTAGTGCCTTTGAAAAGACAGCTTTGAATGAAGTTTATGCACATGCAGTACTAGGTGAGTATTTTTCATATGCTATATATATTTATTTTGAAAACTAAGTAGTCACTGGAAGTAGGAATAAATAGGGCAAGTACAATGGAAAGATACAAGTTTATTTCCTTGAATTTGTTTCTGTATACCTGCAGCCAGTTTTCCCAGAATTATGTATTAATGAGGGTTGTTTATTTGGAATAATAATCCCTAATTAGGTATTCACATTCCCAGTCACTCATATCACTAATGTGCAGATTCTTTCACAATGAATTTGGTGAAATGATTTTTATTTCAGGAAAGATACTGGTTATAGACAAGTTTTATCAAATATTATTTAAGTTGACATGACATTTTGTCCATACATTCACATATTCTGGAACTCATTCTGGGCTGCTAAAAATTGTTTAAGGATACCTGAATAATTAATAATATGAATGAATGAAGACTTATTTTATGGTACTTGATTTATTTTTGATGCAATTTTGTTTTTCATATTCATGATGTTTGATTTTTTTACCTAAGATCTGCAAATTCCTAATATCATCTTTCCAAATTATTGTGATTAATGAAAGTTTTTATGTTGATTAATCCTAATGTGACTTCTCTATGAAGATTGATTGTGAACTTTTTATACACAAGTTCTCATAATGCATTAAATCATCTCTACTTACCATTAAACAAAGCCAAAAATTATTAAAAACCATGAAAAAAAAACTAAAGATCATTATTGATTGTCTTTATTACCCCAAGGGATATATACAACAAAACATACATATAACATAATAAATTGAAACAATCATCATTGCACAATTATTATTGTTTTTCATAAAAAAAATTATAATAAAATATAAAATGAAAATATTATAATCCATTACAAGGAATCAAATTGTGAATGATTAGTAGATATGGGATTAAAGTTTACTGAGCAGATATTTCTTTCATTTGATTTTAACTATTTTCTGCTTCTATATTTTTCAACTCATTAGGTAAGGAGTTATATAAAATCATTCTTTTATGGAATATTGATTGTTTACCAAAATTTGACTTGTAATTATTTGCTACCAATAAATTGAATTGCCTTGTTTCATGGGCATGAATCCTATTAACTTCATTAAAATTCAAATTTGATATTTTCAATTCCATCCTGACAAAATGAATGAAACAATAAATTTTGAGTTTATATAATGAAACTAGATTCAGCAAGTCTTTAGGTTTGTATAGATTTGCAGTTGATTCTAAAAAAGGTAAATTGAAAATGCACTCAATTGTTTTATTTTGTAATTTCATGAGTGGCTTCAAAAGTGACATATTTGTACTTCCCCAAATAGATATTAGATATTGTAAATTTGAATAAAAAAGACAGAAATAAATACTCTAGGCATCTAACAGAAATGAAATTTCGAATTTTTTATATAATACCAGCAATAGGATTCAATTTTTTCCTCAAATGATCTATATGTAGAGTCCATGATAATTGTTCATCAATATAAAGACCTAAAAAGTTTGTTACATTTGTATATTCAATGGAATTGTTATTGAAACATATTGGGGTATTATTCAATATATTCCTTGTTCTTCTTGAGATGTACATCTATATAGATTTACTATAATTAAGAGTCAACTTATTGGTCGTTAGCCAAGATGATATTTGTTTCAAATCATTTTTAATATCATTATTGATATCCTTCCAATTTTTTGAAGTATAGATTATTGTTGTATCATCTGCAAATAATTTTCGGTTTTCCTTTCAATTTCAATGTAGATATTGAGTTGATGTAAATTAAAAATAAAATTGGCCCCAAAACTGACCCTTGCGGTACACCACATGTAATATTCATTAAGGAACCACAAGTATTATTCACATCAACATACTGTTTTTATTCTTCAAATAATTTTGAAACCAATCATGAATTTTTCCTCTGACACCTATTGATGATTTAGTCAATAAAATATTATGATTTACAGTGTCAGATGCCTTACAAAGATCCAAAGACAGAATGCCGCATTTGTGATTGTCATCTATTCCTAACTGAATATCTGAAATGACATCCATCAGTCATTCTAAATGCACAATAAAAGTAAACTTTTTGAGTTGGGTTATTTGATAATTTACAGGGCGTTTATTTTTCAATAGGAGTTTGGGAGCATTCAAAAATCTCCGAAGTTTTTATCGCTTGGAGCGCACGAAAGGGAATCCCTTTAATGATCAAAGAACATCATGCATACCTCCTTTTACACGTCGCTGAAGGCCTGATGTATCATTTTCAATGACAAATTATTATTATAAGTTGGGAATTACTATAAGGGCATATATGATATTTCTCAAAATAATATACAGAATTCAAAAAATGTAATGAAATACAAGGTGTTCCATAATCATAGATATAAATTCAATGTCACAAAAGTTACTTGTCACAAAAATAACATGGAAGTGTACAAACCTGATGGTTGAAACATAAAAAAACTCAATGTTGTTCACAGTAAAATGCATTCAGTTCATAGTAGGTTAAGTAACATGCAAATTTCAAAAGAGTACCCAATTTTTTGTTCCTCACAAAAGTGTGTTGATTGAAAACAAGGCATATTTATCTTGAATCTTATTGGATCTTGTCTGTATTAATGCATAAAAACCTTTTATTATAAAAGTTCATTTTCAGAAAAATAACATGAAAGTGTACAAACCTGATGTTTGAAATATGAAAAACTCAATGTTGTTCACAGTAAAAGTCATTTTGTTCATAGTAGGTTGAGTAACAAGCAAATTTCAAAAGAGTACCCAATTTTTTTTGGTTCCTCACAGAAGTGTGTTGATTGAAAACAAGGCATATTTATCTTAAATGTTATTGGATCTTGTGTGTATTAATGAATAAAAACATAATCTCTTACGTATTTACCCCCAATGAAACAAATCATGAAAATCATCCATTTTCTCAAAGTGGTCCACAGTATTTTCAAGAAGAAAAAAAACTAGGGGCTCAAAGTCGGTCGACCACACTTCATATAATAGTAGTATTTGTCTGATGATGGCCGTAGCGCCGAAACCGGTTACATATGTAAAATGTTAGTTACTACTATTATATGAAGTGTGGTCGACCAACTTTGAGCCCCTAGTTTTTTTTCTTCCCTAATGAAACATTATGCACCTTTTACCGATGTCAAAGTGACTGGCGTCACCGTCAAGTGGCGTTTTCTGTGGAGTTGATTCATCAAAAAAAAGTGGATGAAATTCCCAACCTGTCTGCATTCTGCAATACGCCTATCAACGCCCATTCACAGGTAAACATCAGCACGTCGTTAGATACTACTCCGCGTGGGCGGAAGACAATCACATGATCATCCAGAATGAGTACTGCAATGGGGGCTCTTTGGCGGACAAAATCGTTCGAGAACCGCTCAGCGGTCAGGAGCTGCGCACCCTTCTACTACACGTCGCTGAAGGCCTCAGGTATTATTATCATTGGAATATTATAATGATAATACGATATAAATATCGGGATTTCAGTCACTTCTTCATCGCTAAGCCAAGCTTTCGAAAATTTGTTTTTTCTTCAAGGCTAGAAAACTATATAGAGATGAAGTACAGCTTGACCATTCTAGCTTGGCCTCTGACATGTGCAAACTATGCGTTTTTATTGGAAAGTACAATCATACTGTAATGTTCTAACCATATACGTATTAATAAACAATACGGATCATAACGGGTGCCAGGATGAAGCCAAAAATATGAAACAAATGAATATCCATAAGGATTTGGTGGCATGATACGCATGCGCCATGCGCTTTTATAGTAGTCATCAAAGACATGCGTTTCGGTGGACAATGACGTTTACTAGCCTTTCAATCAAAGCAGTATGTGTCTGATCGTTTCAAAAGGTTTCCTTATGGATAGTCATTTGTCTTCAAAAATCGGCTTCATGTTTCGCTATGGAAACAGATAGAGATTATCCGTATTGATTATTAATACGTATATGGTTCTAACCCATTTTCATTGAACCAGTTCCTTGCCAATAATGAGATCTCGTCCCATTCTGCCGACTGGTCTACTGCGCATCCAATTCTCAGAGGCCAAGCTAGAATGGTCAAGCTGTAGTTTACTTATTTGAAGCCTGAGTCACTGAATCCCCGATATTTCTATTGTATCATAATATACTACAGTTGCTTAACTATTCCTTCTTTTTGAAACACGAAAATTGCTAACTTTGATATTCTGAAGGCTTTCAATTGAAAATATTTCAATCCGGACTTGGAAGATATTCTGCACTAGCTGACCCGGCAAACGTTGTTTTGCTATGCACATTATTTCTAGAAAATATTTTTTCAGTTAAATATTATAGTTTGGCTATCTATTAAAGCATGTTTCTTCAGTTTTTCTACAATTTATTACTATGCTCATCGTTCGCCATATTCGATTATCAATTTTGACAAAAAAATCACCGACCCCGAAAAACCGCGGATCATAATAACAAAACTCACCCGCGATATTGGATCCGTCATCTTGAATTTCCCAATTTTGATAATCTCCAGAAAGCCTCTAGATACCAATTTCGAATAGAATCGGATTATATTTACAAAACTCGTCCGCCGTATTGGATCCGCCATCTTGAATTTTCAATTTAAAAATAACTTACGACCGATTCTCAGATCTACATCGGAGAAGTTTAGAACCATGACATGAGAATTTTATATAAGAGATTGAGTGTTCTTGAATTTTCTAATTTTCTGCACAATTTTCTTAATTTTTTCTTTCATAAGAACCTTCTGAGAATAATAAAAACAACGAAAAAAGGCATTAGTGAAATCGGTCCAGCCGTTCACGCGTGATGGCGTGAATAGGGATTCATTTTTATACAGGGTGGCCCTTTGAACACGAAACAGAGGCTCTGTAGGTCGCCAAAACCGGATTATGAAAATAATCTGAAACACAAACTACAATTTTGAGGGGGACATCGCTCTAAAATATTTTCAGCTCTGCGGCGTTGCCGCTTCTGACGATAAGTGGCAACAACTTTGTTATTTCAAATGGAACATTCTGTATTTCATTGCATTTTTAGATTCTCCCCAAAGAGCTGATTTCATCAATGCATCACACTTGAGATCCAGGCGGCAATGATTACAGACCTATAGGGTGTTCAAAATGGAGATTTTTCAACTTTAGCAATTTTTTGTGTCGAAACTATTCATCATTGATCAAAGCGGCTCACATGACCCTATCTCGAATTTCGATTCACTATCTACTGACATTTAAATGGAACGAATACAGGGTGGTTCAAGATTCAGAATTCTGATCACCCTGTATCTGTTCTAATTAAATGTCAGTAGATAGTAAATCGAAAGTTGAGATAGAGATATAAAAGCCGTTTTGCCCAATAATGAATAGTTTGGACACAAAAAAATCTCGATTTTGAACACCCTATAGCTCTGTAATCATTGCCGCTAGATCTCAAGTGTGATGCATTGATGAAATCAGCTCTTTGACGAGAAACTGAAAGTGCAATGAAATACAGGGTGTGCCATTTGAAATATCAAAGTTGTTGCTACTTTTTGTGAGAAGCGGCAACGCCACAGAGCTGAAAATAATTTGTTTGTCCCCCTCGAAAATTTAGTTGATGTGCTTCAGATTTTTTTCATAATCCGGTTTTGGCGACCTACAGAGCCTGTGTTTCGTTTTCAAAGAGCCACCCTGTATTACCGATATTCACCCTTCGCTACTTAACGAAAAGTAGTTCACATTGTCGCTCATAGATACCGCTACCTGGTGAATAGAATTTCTGGCTTCATTGCTCTCACAAGGATTGTTAATCTTGGATAGTGTATCAAATCAAGGTCAAATGAAAAGTGAAATGTTCCCGCTCCTAGGTACATCCATTCGGAGGGCCTGGTCCATATGGACATCAAGCCGGGCAACATCTTCGTATCTAGAGAGAAAAAGTTGCACATCACCAACTACGATTCGGCGGACGACGGATTCGAAGATCTCGACGACACATCGCTGCTCGAAGAGGAACTGACGTATAAGATCGGCGATTTGGGGCACGTGACCAGCATACAGAATCCACAGGTGGGTAACAATGTCGACTAGGCCTGTTTCTTTTTTCTCGTTTTTTTCTTGCACTTGCTCACTTTTCAATCTTGGGGTGTTGATATTTTGACCTTTTGTCACTGAACACTAGTTTATTGTTTCATGTTTTCTGTCATTTGTTTGTTAGTCCCAAGCTTAAACATAGATTTTAATCTTCTCCTGAAGAGGATAACATGCAAGCCTCTATTCATTAAACATACAATCTTGACGCTATGAGCCATTTTTAAACTAGAAACTATTAGGAAATTATAACGTTGTTGATAAGATCGATCGATCTTTCGTTTAGGTAGAGGAGGATGGCTGCTGTTACCTGTCCAACGATATCCTGCACGAGGATTAATATGAGTTCAAAATAGAGGTCACTAGCTTACTGAAAATGTCGTCAATAACGGCGATTTTCGCGAATTTTTGTTCAATGAGCAGACAACTAGGTTTTGATTTAGAACGATAATGATACACACTTGATGCTTTGTCATACATCTTCAGACACTAAAGTATTGAAGAAGAATACTCATGACGCCATATTTTTAATCCTATATGAAGTTTACAATAACATCAAGAGTCAAGAAGTTGTTGCAGCAGTAATACGACGTTTTTTTTAAGGTTTGGATGTGATCAGAAACAAAATATGCACAAAATTTCTTGGGGTATCTATAGACAATAAACTGAAATTCGCATACCGCATTGCAACTATAAAAAAGGATACTATTAGGAAATTATAAATTTGTCAAATAAGATCTATCCTCGTAATTTAGGTGGAGGAGGAGGACTACTGCTACCTGCCCAACGATATCCTCCACGATCCACGAGGATTAATCGCTCCTCAAAATAGAGGTCACTAGTTTACTGAAAATGTGGTCAATGAGGGCGATTTTCGCACATTTTTGTTCGTGAAACGAACGACAATGACTCAACAAACAATGATGATACACATTTTTCATGCCTTGTCAGTGAAAATGCATCTTTAGACACTAAAATACATCTCCATCCAGGGTTGCGACATTTTGAATCAACTGAATTTTGCAATTTTAACCATGATTCAAATGAAATTATATATTGCTGTGAAAACAAGTAGCCAAAGTAGATAATCAATCAGGCTCGCTTCGCTCGCACGTTGAAATATCTCGATCATTAATCGCCCTCATTAATACACTAGTTGGTTAATAGTTATTTAACCAACTAGTGTATTAATGAGGACGATTAATGATCGAGATATTTTAACGTGCGAGCGAAGCGAGTGCGTTAATGTTCGAGATCATTAATCGCCTTTTAATATACAAGTTGGTTACAAAATTATCCCGTCGACAATGTTTCTCATTTCTCCTGCAATGAAGAAAACTTGGTTTGCGAATTCATCATCCATCCGGAAACTGCTAAGAATCACCCAGTAGCCTTGTTACTGACATTAGTGTCATTTGACATTGGCCGAAATGATCAACATAGGAAATAAATTCCTTCTGTTAGAAAACAGGGATTAAAATCGTGTCAGAAACTTGGAAAGGCGAACCCGTTAACGGAAAATCGTCGATGAAATCCATATTTTCGATTTAAATGCAGATTCCGCTAGTTATAGCATAAACAATGAATGCAGGCGGTGTATGTTTGGTTGCCTATAAAACAATCGTGCATTAATAGACAAATCGTCCATTAATAGGGGTCATTAATGAACGATTTCATATACATTAAACTTAGTCGTTAATACGAGGTCGACGGAAAATAACTATAACATTAACACAGCTATAGAAATTGACATGATGGTTTTAAGTTTCATTATTTCCATAAATTTATGGAACAAAATCAGTATAAATTGGTGGTTTAGGTGGAGGAGGGCGACTGCCGCTACCTGCCCAACGAGATCCTCCACGAGGACTACTCGCACCTCACCAAGGCGGACGTGTTCGCGCTGGGCGTGACGGCGCTCGAGTGCGCCGGCGCCGGCCCGCTGCCCAAAAATGGCGACGAGTGGCACCGACTGCGCCAAGGCCGAGTGCCCGCGCTGCCGCAGAAGCTCAGCCGCGACCTCGTCGAGCTGCTGGAGGCGATGATTCGACCGGACGCGACTCATCGGCCATCGCCCAGTCAGATACTGCAGCACAGGTGAGAGACATTTGATACAAACTTTTTTCAAAGCAGAGATAGCTCATTTCTGACTGCACTTATGACTTTTCTGGGTGGAAAAACGGCCTAATTAGGTCGCAAAACCGAAATGAAGTCGATATCTCGACAGATAGCGGAGAGTTTTTTCGAATTCGGTATACAGAGCATAAGGTCCGATGTTGAAATCCAAACTTTTTTCAAAGCAGAGATAGCTCATTTCTGACTTCACCAATGACTTTTCTGGGTCGAAAAACTGCCTAATTAGGTCGCAAAACCGAAATGAAGTCGATATCTCGACAGATAGCGGAGAGTTTTTTCGAATTCGGTATACAGAGCATAAGGTCCGATGTTGAAATCCAAACTTTTTTCAAAGCAGAGATAGCTCATTTCTGACTGCACCAATGACTTTTCTGGGTGGAAAAACTGCCTAATTAGGTCGCAGAACCGAAATGAAGTCGATATCTCGACAGATAGCGGAGAGTTTTTTCGAATTCGGTATACAGAGCATAAGGTCCGATGTTGAAATCCAAACTTTTTTCAAAGCAGAGATAGCTCATTTCTGACTGCACCAATGACTTTTCTGGGTCAAAAAACTGCCTAATTAGGTCGCGAAACCGAAATGAAGTCGATATCTCGACAGATAGCGGAGATTTTTTTCGATTTCGAAACATTGAGCAATAACACCGATGACAAAATCCAAACTTTTTTCAAAGCAGAGATAGCTCATTTCTGACTGCACCAATGACTTTTCTGGGTCGAAAAACTGCCTAATTAGGTCGCAAAACCGAAATGAAGTCGATATCTCGACAGATAGCGGAGAGTTTTTTCGAATTCGGTATACAGAGCATAAGGTCCGATGTTGAAATCCAAACTTTTTTCAAAGCAGAGATAGCTCATTTCTGACTGCACCAATGACTTTTCTGGGTCGAAAAACTGCCTAATTAGGTCGCAAAACCGAAATGAAGTCGATATCTCGACAGATAGCGGAGATTTTTTTCGATTTCGAAACATTGAGCAATAACGCCGATGTTCAAATCCAAACTTTTTCCAAAGCAGAGATAGCTCATTTCTGACTGCACCAATGACTTTTTTGGGTCGAAAAACTGCCTATTTAGGTCGCGAAACTGAAATGAAGTCGATATCTCGACAGATAGCGGAGAGTTTTTTCGATTTCGGTATACAGAGCATAAGGTCCGATGTTGAAATCCAAACTTTTTTCAAAGCAGAGATAGCTCATTTCTGACTACACCAATGACTTTTCTGGGTTGAAAAACTGCCTATTAGGTCGCAAAACCGAAATGAAGTCGATATCTCGACAGATAGCGGAGAGTTTTTTTGAATTCGGTATACAGAGCATGAGGTCCGATTTTGAAATCCAAACTTTTTTCGAAACAGAGATAGCTCATTTCTGAGTGCACCAATGACTTTTTTGGGTCCAAAAACTGCCTAGTTAGGTCGCGAAACTGAAATGAAGTCGATATCTCGACAGATAGCGGAGATTTTTTTCGATTTCGAAACATTGAGCAATAACGCCGATGTTGAAATCCAAACTTTTTTCAAAGCAGAGATAGCTCATTTCTGACTGCACCAATGACTTTTTTGGGTCCAAAAACTGCCTAATTAGGTCGCAAAACTGAAATGAAGTCGATATCTCGACAGATAGCGGAGAGTTTTTTCGATTTCGGTATACAGAGCATAAGGTCCGATGTTGAAATCCAAACTTTTTTCAAAGCAGAGATAGCTCATTTCTGACTGCACCAATGACTTTTCTGGGTCGAAAAACTGCCTATTAGGTCGCAAAACCGAAATGAAGTCGATATCTCGACAGATAGCGGAGAGTTTTTTCGAATTCGGTATACAGAGCATAAGGTCCGATGTTGAAATCCAAACTTTTTTCAACGCAGAGATAGCTCATTTCTGACTGCATCAATGACTTTTCTGGGTCGAAAAACTGCCTAATTAGGTCGCAAAACCGAAATGAAGTCGATATCTCGACAGATAGCGGAGAGATTTTACGAATTCGGTATACAGAGCATAAGGTCCGATGTTGAAATCCAAACTTTTTTCAACGCAGAGATAGCTCATTTCTGACTGCATCATTGACTTTTCTGGGTCGAAAAACTGCCTAGTTAGGTCGCAAAACCGAAATGAAGTCGATATCTCGACAGATAGCGGAGAGTTTTTTCGAATTCGTTATACAGAGCATAAGGTCCGATGTTGAAGTCCAAACTTTTTTCGAAGCAGAGATAGCTCATTTCTGACTGCATCAATGACTTTTCTGGGTCGAAAAACTGCCTAATTAGGTCGCAAAACCGAAATGAAGTCGATATCTCGACAGATAGCGGAGAGTTTTTTCGAATTCGGTATACAGAGCATAAGGTCCGATGTTGAAATCCAAACTTTTTTCAAAGCAGAGATAGCTCTTTTCTGACTGCACCAATGACTTTTCTGGGTCGAAAAACTGCCTAATTAGGTCGCAAAACCGAAATGAAGTCGATATTTGGACAGATAGCGGAGAGGTTTTTCGAATTCGGTATACAGAGCATAAGGTCCGATGTTGAAATCCAAACTTTTTTCAAAGCAGAGATAGCTCATTTCTGACTACACCAATGACTTTTATGGGTCGAAAAACTGCCTTATTAGGTACCAAAACCGAAATGAAGTCGATATCTCGACAGATAGCGGAGATTTTTTTCGATTTCGGTATACAGAGCATAAGGTCCGATGTTGAAATCCAAACTTTTTTCAAAGCAGAGATAGCTCTTTTCTGACTGCACCAATGACTTTTCTGGGTCGAAAAACTGCCTATTAGGTCGCAAAACTGAAACCAAGTCGATATCTCGACAGATAGCTGAGAGTTTTTTCGAATTCGGTATACAGAGCATATAAGGTCCGATGTTGAAATCCAAACTTCTTTTAAAGCAGAGATAGCTCAATTCTGACTGCACCAATGACTTTTCTGGGTCGAAATACTGCCAAATTAGGTCGCAAAACCAAAATGAAGTCGATATCTTGACAGATAGCGGAGAGTTTTTTCGAATTCGGTATACAGAGCATAAGGTCCGATGTTGAAATCCAAACTTTATTCAAAGCAGAGATAGCTTATTTCTGACTGCACCAATGACTTTTCTGGGTCGAAAAACTGCCTATTAGGTCGCAAAATCGAAATGAAGTCGATATCTCGACAGATAGCGGAGAGTTTTTTCGAATTCGGTATACAGAGCATGAGGTCCGATGTTGAAATCCAAACTCTTTTCAAAGCAGAGATAGCTCATTTCTGACTGCACCAATGACTTTTCTGGGTCGAAAAACTGCCTAATTAGGTCGCAAAACCGAAATGAAGTCGATATTTCGACAGATAGCGGAGAGTTTTTTCGAATTCTGTATACAGAGCATAAGGTCCGATGTTGAAATCCAAACTTTTTTCAAAGCAGAGATAGCTCATTTCTGACTGCAACAATGACTTTTCTGGGTCGAAAAACTACCTAATTAGGTCGCAAAACTGAAATGAAGTCGATATTTCGACAGATAGCGGAGAGTTTTTTCGAATTCGGTATACAGAGCATAAGGTCCGATGTTGAAATCCAAACTTTTTTCAAAGCAGAGATAGCTCATTTCTGACTGCACCAATGACTTTTCTGGGTCGAAAAACTGCCTAATTAGGTCGCAAAACTGAAATGAAGTCCATATCTCGAAGGATAGAGGAGAGTTTTTTCGAATTCGGTATACAGAGCATGAAGGTCCGATATTGAAATCCAATCTTTTTTCAAAGCAGAGATAGCTCATTTCTGACTGCACCAATGACTTTTCTGGGTCGAAAAACTGCCTAATTAGGTCGCAAAACTGAAATGAAGTCCATATCTCGAAGGATAGCGGAGAGTTTTTTCGAATTCGGTATACAGAGCATAAGGTCCGATATTGAAATCCAATCTTTTTTCAAAGCAGAGATAGCTCATTTCTGACTCCACCAATGACTTTTTTGGGTCGAAAAACTGCCTAATTAGGTCGCAAAACCGAAATGAAGTCGATATTTCGACAGATAGCGGAGAGTTTTTTCGAATTCTGTATACAGAGCATAAGGTCCGATGTTGAAATCCAAACTTTTTTCAAAGCAGAGATAGCTCATTTCTGACTGCAACAATGACTTTTCTGGGTCGAAAAACTACCTAATTAGGTCGCAAAACTGAAATGAAGTCGATATTTCGACAGATAGCGGAGAGTTTTTTCGAATTCGGTATACAGAGCATAAGGTCCGATGTTGAAATCCAAACTTTTTTCAAAGCAGAGATAGCTCATTTCTGACTGCACCAATGACTTTTCTGGGTCGAAAAACTGCCTAATTAGGTCGCAAAACTGAAATGAAGTCCATATCTCGAAGGATAGAGGAGAGTTTTTTCGAATTCGGTATACAGAACATGAGGTCCGATGTTAAAATCCAAATTTTTTTCAAAGCAGAGATAGCTCATTTCTGACTGCACCAATGACTTTTTTGGGTCGAAAAACTGCTTAATTAGGTCGCAAAATCGAAATGAAGTCGATATCTCGACAGAAAGCGGAGAGTTTTTTCGAATTCGGTATACAGAACATGAGGTCCGATGTTGAAATCCAAACTTTTTTCAAAGCAGAGATAGCTCATTTCTGACTGCACCAATGACTTTTTTAGGTCGAAAAACTACCTAGTTAGGTCGCAAAATCGAAATAAAGTCGATATCTCGACAGAAAGCGGAGAGTTTTTTCGAATTCGGTATACAGAACATGAGGTCCGATGTTGAAATCCAAACTCTTTTCAAAGCAGAGATAGCTCATTTCTGACTGCACCAATGACTTTTCTGGGTCGAAAAACTGCCTAATTAGGTCGCAAAACCGAAATGAAGTCGATATTTCGACAGATAGCGGAGAGTTTTTTCGAATTCTGTATACAGAGCATAAGGTCCGATGTTGAAATCCAAACTTTTTTCAAAGCAGAGATAGCTCATTTCTGACTGCAACAATGACTTTTCTGGGTCGAAAAACTACCTAATTAGGTCGCAAAACTGAAATGAAGTCGATATTTCGACAGATAGCGGAGAGTTTTTTCGAATTCGGTATACAGAGCATAAGGTCCGATGTTGAAATCCAAACTTTTTTCAAAGCAGAGATAGCTCATTTCTGACTGCACCAATGACTTTTCTGGGTCGAAAAACTGCCTAATTAGGTCGCAAAACTGAAATGAAGTCCATATCTCGAAGGATAGAGGAGAGTTTTTTCGAATTCGGTATACAGAGCATGAAGGTCCGATATTGAAATCCAATCTTTTTTCAAAGCAGAGATAGCTCATTTCTGACTGCACCAATGACTTTTCTGGGTCGAAAAACTGCCTAATTAGGTCGCAAAACTGAAATGAAGTCCATATCTCGAAGGATAGCGGAGAGTTTTTTCGAATTCGGTATACAGAGCATAAGGTCCGATATTGAAATCCAATCTTTTTTCAAAGCAGAGATAGCTCATTTCTGACTCCACCAATGACTTTTTTGGGTCGAAAAACTGCCTAATTAGGTCGCAAAACCGAAATGAAGTCGATATTTCGACAGATAGCGGAGAGTTTTTTCGAATTCTGTATACAGAGCATAAGGTCCGATGTTGAAATCCAAACTTTTTTCAAAGCAGAGATAGCTCATTTCTGACTGCAACAATGACTTTTCTGGGTCGAAAAACTACCTAATTAGGTCGCAAAACTGAAATGAAGTCGATATTTCGACAGATAGCGGAGAGTTTTTTCGAATTCGGTATACAGAGCATAAGGTCCGATGTTGAAATCCAAACTTTTTTCAAAGCAGAGATAGCTCATTTCTGACTGCACCAATGACTTTTCTGGGTCGAAAAACTGCCTAATTAGGTCGCAAAACTGAAATGAAGTCCATATCTCGAAGGATAGAGGAGAGTTTTTTCGAATTCGGTATACAGAGCATGAAGGTCCGATATTGAAATCCAATCTTCTTTCAAAGCAGAGATAGCTCATTTCTGACTGCACCAATGACTTTTCTGGGTCGAAAAACTGCCTAATTAGGTCGCAAAACTGAAATGAAGTCCATATCTCGAAGGATAGCGGAGAGTTTTTTCGAATTCGGTATACAGAGCATAAGGTCCGATATTGAAATCCAATCTTTTTTCAAAGCAGAGATAGCTCATTTCTGACTCCACCAATGACTTTTTTGGGTCAAAAAACTGCCTAATTAGGTCGTAAAACCGAAATGAAGTCGATATCTCCACAGTTAGTGGAGAGTTTTTTCGTATTTGGTATACAGAGCATAAGGTCCGATATTGAAATCCAATTGAAATCCAATCTTTTTTCAAAGCAGAGATAGCTCATTTCTGACTTCACCAATGACTTTTTTGGGTCAAAAAACTGCCTAATTAGGTCGCAAAACCGAAATGAAGTCGATATCTCGACAGATAGCGGAGAGTTTTTTCGAATTCGGGATACAGAGCATAAGGTCCGATGTTGAAATCCAAACTTTTTTCAAAGCAGAGATAGCTCATTTCTGACTGCATCATTGACTTTTCTGGGTCGAAAAACTGCCTAATTAGGTCGCAAAACCAAAATGAAGTCAACATTTGGTACAATTATTTGTATATATCTACACGTCCTCACAGGAGACATGTAACAGCCTGTAGTTTTTTTTATTTGGAGAGATAAAAACTTGAAAGTCACAAGGGTCATATTATCAATTATTATTTCCCCACCGAAACGAGACGATTTTTTTGCAGGGCCCTTTCCCCCGACAGCTCCAAGACCAAATCGGAGCTGACGCGAGAACTGAACGCCGAAAAGATGAAAAACGAGATGCTGGTGAAACAGCTGAAGGAGGCGGCGATGTGCATCAAAACCATCGCCAACGAGACCGTCAAACTGCCCTCCATTGCCAAGATCAATTCGAGGTTGATCGGCAAAAAGGTGAACAGGAGCATAAGCACCACGACCTTCTAGCTAGGTGATTATTATTATTATTATTTCTATTGTGTTATCGATCGAAGTATAGAGTTATTCTGATAGTTATATTTTTGCCTATATTTTATATTTTTATTGGAAATGGAAACCCCTCCCCCCCTCGACGACCTTGTTTGTGTTTTTTTTTTCGAAGTCGGTAGCTTTGAACTACTAGTGAAATTTACTCGATTATGCCTGTGAATAACAGAATTGGTTAACCTCGGACAAGGTTTCTCCAACTAACTGCTAAAAATTGCTGCAGACAACAAAACAAAAATATTTCTGGAACCTTGAAAACCATTAGAGATGAAAAGATGCTTGAATGATTAGAAGGTTTTTGGTTCTATTTGAGTAAAGAAAAAAGATTTCACCCTGAACCACTTTTGACAACCTGCAAAAAAAATGGTGCTTTGAGTTTTCATTTTCGAGGTTTCAGCTTTGTTAGTGCATCAACTTTCTTATTAAAAAAAAAAAAATGGGGATTGAACAAATGTTTCATTGTGATACCCTGTAGGTCCTGTTTTGTGTACCACATTTAACTATGAAGAATAAAATAGATTGTCATTCTTGTTTTTTTTTAGTGAAAATATACAGGTTTGCATTTGAATATACAGGGTCGGCCACCAGTAACGCCTCGGTCTCTAGAAGGCTAACCACTTATCTTCTTGGAATTCTTCCTCTCTAGGAAGTTGCATGTCAACATAGGCTACCATTTGAAATTATTTCAAAACATACAGGGTGTCCCCAAAAACCATAAAACACTGAAGTTGAACTTTTTTCTATCGAACACCCTATATATTATTTCATTTTGAGATTCTCCCTGATGAGCTGATTTCAACGACCCATCATACTTGGGGTCTAGCAGTTATAATTACTGAAATATAGGGTGTGCAAAATCGAGATTTTCCAAGTTCAAGAATTGTTTGTGTCGAAACTATTCATAATTGGTCAAAACGGCTTACATGTCCCTATCTCAACTTTTGATTAACTATCTACTGATATTTAATTGGGACATATACCGGGTGATCAAGATTCTGAATTCTGCACCACCCTGTATTTGTTTCAATTAAATGTCGGTAGATAGTTGATCAAAAGTTGAGGTAGGAACATGTAAGCCGTTTTGACCAATTATGAATGGTTTAGACACAAAAAATTCTTGAACTTGGAAAATCTCGATTTCTCACACCCTATATCTCAGTATTTATAACTGCTAGACCCCAAGTATGATGGATTGTTGAAATCAGCTCACCAGGGAGAATCTCAAAATGAAATAATATATAGGATGTTTGATTGAAAAAAGTTCAACTTCAGTGTTTTGTGATTTTTGGGGACATCCTGTATGTTTCAAAATAATTTCAAATGGTAGCCTATGTTGACATGCAACTTCCTAGAGAGGAAGAATTCCAAGAAGATAAGTGGTTAGCCTTCTAGAGACCGAGGCGTTACTGGTGGCCCACCCTGTATAAATTTCCACAATGATAGCTTTGAAAAGTAAAAAAAAACAGCAGTTCATTCCATACACTTACGGCTAAAAAAACGACCAGCAAAAAAAATTGGGAAATTGACCGTCTTCTTGTCCGATTTTAGTGAAAAATGTTGGTTCCAAAGAAAAGCTGATAGCTTGGTCATTATACAGGGAAAAACAAAAGTTACTATTCAACGCTTATCTTCTCAACGCCCTGTGGTAAAAATGAGGAATTATACTTAGCTCCATCATGTGTCGGATTGAAGTGTGATGCCTTCTTAACACAATGGTCTTTGATTCATGTCAATACAGAGTGGGCCTTTGAAAACGAAACAGAGGCTCTGTAGGTCGCCAAAACCGGATTATGAAAAGAATCTGAAACACGTCATCTACATTTTCGAGGGGGACATCGTCCTACAATATTTTCAGACCTGCGGCGTTGCCGCTGCTAACGAAAAGAAGCAACAACTTTGTTATTTCAAATGGAACACCTTGTATTTTATTGCATTTTTAGATTCTCCCCGAAAATCTGATTTTATCAATGCATCACACTTGGGGTCTAGCTGTAATTGTTTCAGGGATATAAAGTGTTCAAAATCGAGATTTTTCAACTTTGACATTTTTTTGTGTCGAAACTATTCATTATTGGTCAAAACGGCTTACATGTCCCTATCTCAACTTGTGATTCACTATCTACTAACATTTAATTGGAACAGATACAGGGTGATCAGAATTCTGAATCTTGAACCACCCTGTATTTGTTTCAAATAAATGTCAGTAGATAGTAAATCACAAGTTGAGATCGGGACATGAGAGCCGTTTTGACCAATAATGAATAGTTTCGACACAAAAAAAATTTAAAGTTGAAAAATCTCGATTTTGAACACTTTATATCCCTGAAACCATTACAGCTAGACCCCAAGTGTGATGCATTGATGAATTCAGCTCTTCGGAGAGAATCTAAGAATGCAATAAAATACAAGGTGTTCCATTTGAAATAACAAAGTTGTTGCTTCTTTTCGTTAGAAGCGGCAACGCCGCAGGGCTGAAAATATTTTAGAAAGATGTCCCCCTCGAAAATGTAGTTGATCTGTTTCAGTTTTTTTTGATAATCCGGTTTTGGCGACCTACAGAGCCTCTGTTTCGTTTTCAAAGGCCCACTCTGTATATCCTTATAAAGAGAAGATACAAGTATTTTCAGAAGTTAAGGGTAAAAGAGTAATTGTTTTTCCCTGAATAATAATCATGTCATCAGCTTTTTTCAAGAATTCAAATCTCGAACTCCAAAACATTAATCTACGATTTGGTCGAAATTTCATCACAATCGGACAATAATTGAAAAAGTTACAAGACGATCCATTTGTGTAAGTGTATTTTAAACAAGAAATAACGTTATTGGCGGTTATAAACAATAAAAAAATCAGTATGGAATTCTGCAAAAACGTTTTCCTCATCCAACCACCTTCGATTTTCTAATTTTTTTATCTACCTAGTGACTATTCAATAAACAGTTACAATAGAGCCAAGTTATCCTGAAATGATCCTAATAAATTCGAAAGCCGCATTTTTTTTGGTTTTATTTCATTTCTTAGAGTTGTTCAACATTTTGTGGTAATCTTGATTGAGCGTTTTGGAATGTTAATTTACGGAAGTAAATATAATTTTTCAATCAATATCTGGAGATATCAAAAATTTCTTTATGAAAAAATCATCGAAAAATGTAGACCTACCCCAGGGCAAGGCATAACTGGAAATTTCCTGAATGAATAAAAATTATTTCGGTTCACAAATTGAAAAATGAGTCTGAATCATCATCCATACATATATATCAGATTTCAGTATATTTTATTGACAGTAAGACTTTTCAAACCCATTCTATTTTGTTGAATATGCTATTTTTCAGCCCAGGATGTTCTGTAGTTTTAAATATACAGGGTATCCGAAAAGTCTGGAAAATCCTGTATATATTTTCAAAGCATATTAGTTAATTCCTGGATGTTCTTAGAGACTTATAATTTTTAATTATGTTTTTTTAACTATTTATTTTTTTATCATCAGATCAGAGGCACTAGAAGTTGGAATGTATTGAAATACAATCTCGAAATCTTCTCAGCATTTTATTACAAAAAGATCACTAAGGCTGAGCAAAATCATGGAAAACTTCCAGAAAAAAAAAAGAATAGAACAACTGACATTTTACTATAAAGCACATGTCACAAATATCAGAACTGGTATCACATTGAATATATTATCTGATATCAAAAGAACGAATTTGATCAAAAAAAGGTCATTTTCTGTTCGTGATATTTGGGTATTTTATGTACAGAGTATTTTAGTAGTACATTTTTCTCATCAAGGTGAGAAAAACAATGTACGCATTTTTTTATGAAATCTGTTACCTCCATTAAAATGTTACTTATTGAAAAATATAAAAACACCTTTCTGCCATTAGAAAATTTTGCAGAAAATTCGAGGATCAAAGTCAAATTACTACTGATATGAATATGAAAATTACTGTTTTCTATTTTCACAAATAAACTGGATTCTCAGAAAGAGTTCATTAATTAATGAGATCACTGAGCTAATAAACATTGTTTTAAGATTTATGCCAAATAAATTCAACATTTCACTGATCAGATATGAGCTGAATTTTTTTATGAAATCTGTTACCTCCATTAAAATGTTACTTATTGAAAAATATAAAAACACCTTTCTGTCACTAGGAAATTTTGCAGAAAATTCGAGGATCAAAGTCAAATTACTACTGATATGAATATGAAAATTACTATTTCCTATTTTCACAAATAAACTGGATTCTCAGAAAGAGTTCATTAATTAATGAGATCACTGAGCTAATAAACATTGTTTTAAGATTTATGCCAAATAAATTCAACATTTCACTGATCAGATATGAGCTAGATTTTTTTTCGTGCCAGGGTAAATTTAGTGGTTGAAAAATATTGGTAAAAAAATGTCCAGGATTATGGCGAAAATTATTTTTATTTGGCAGGATGATTTTCTGTTTGAATGCTCTTTGGTCTCTACGAATTTGTGGGACAAGTTTGCTACATACCCTAGGAAGGAACATTTTCATCAATTCATTGTGAAGCTGAAAAATAGCATATCTGCAAAAACTCCAAATCATTTATACATTGACATTACTATGCTATAGATTTTTTTAATTCAGTTTTATATCAGGACCTAGGAACAAATATCTTCTGTCATAAAGTTGAAAATTCCCATCGAGAAAATGTCGAGAAAATTTGAGTATCACATCGGGTTTCAATAATTATAATTTACTTTGTTACTGGTACCCCTCACAGGGTGTTCTGACGGACCAAAGTATCCTTACACCCAGTAAATCAATTGAAGAAAAAATTATCAAAATAGGTTTCAAGATTCAGAAAAAAATAACATGTTTCTAGTGAATTTCAGGTAGTGCCTTAATTTTGTTCATCAGAGTATAGTTACCAATCAATAAACTATAAACTGCTGTGTGGTTAATAATTTCAAGTGTTTGGTGCCAATTTGAAATATCCGAACAAGTTTCAATGTCAAAAATGATGCAACAGTTTTCTAAAGGCTGAAATTTCGATATTATGTAGTATTTAGGGTGTATGCCAATAGGCTGCCATCAGTCAGCCAGTTTCGTTAGCGATTAGCGCAGGGGCGGTTTCAAGTTAAAAAAAAAACATTTATGTCACAACAGTTCTCTGAAATCTGAAAATTGGTTTCTGAATAGTGAATCAACTAACAACAACAACAACGGGACTCGCCAGCAGCGCGTTAAAGTCATGAAAAACGTATGGTTGATGGTGAAACAGCACGCTCAACGGTTATTTAATGTTGAAATAAATGTTTCTTAGGAAAACATATTGAAAATCTTGTATTTATCAAATATCAAGAATGAATTAATTTCATCAATATACACTCACTGGCAAAAACAAGGGCAACCAAAAAATTTGCCCGAATTGTTCATCCTGTAACTTTTTTAATCCTTGTCCGATTTCTCTGAAATTTTGATCAAATCGTAGATTCATGTTCCAGAATATTGGCCTGAATATTAGTTTCCGTGGAAAGCTGATGACTTGATTATTATACAGGGAAAATCCAATGTTACAATTTCACCCTTTACTTTTCAACACCCTGTGGCGAAATTGAGTGGTTCAACTTGGCTTAATTATGCTTCGGATTAAAGTCTGGTCCCTTCTCAACACAATAGTTTTTCATATTCGTCAATATCTTATTTTGAAGAGAAGATACGAGTGTTTCAAGAAAATATGGCATTTTTCAATTTCTATTAACAATAATCAGAACCTACATAATTATACTCGTGGAATAACAACTTGAAGAATTAATTTAACTTATTTCTACTTGTCTACATATACATTTGATAATTTTATTTTGAAGGTTGAGCGTGCTATGTGAATGATGCTGACGGCGTATGTTGAATAAAAATTCGGACTGTTTTTTTTTATTTTTCCTATTATCAATTTGTTTAACAAATTTAACATTTTAGAAAACAGTTTCACCATCAACCATACTTTTTTATGACTGACGCGTCTTGTTATGATATTTTCAACACTGACGGTTTGAAAATTCACTATTCAGAAATCAATTTTCAGATTTTGGAAAGCTGTTGCGACATACAAGGTTTTTTAACAATTCTGAAGCTGCCTCCGCGTCAGGCTAAATACTACATAATATCGAAATTTGAGCCTTTGGAAAACTGTTGCATTTTTTTGCCTCCCACCTCTCGGTCTATAGTAAGCATTCAACTATGAGTATTTATTTTCATTGTGAGCTTTAAATTGTTATTTCGCAATAAATATCTTGTATACTAAATATTCAGTGTCGTCCAGAAATCAAAGGGTGAAGAAAAATTTGTGAGAATGCACCAACGTTAACTAACTAACCAGTATGCCGTTTGGCAAATTTTTGTCCCCTTCTGATTGAAACATTAGTTTTAAGTAAAACTCTATATAAAAAGAAGTATTATAGTAATATTATATCTTGATTTTGAAAAATTCTTGTGATAATAAAATTCAAAAGGTGTTTAAGGCATTCATAGAATACTCTGTACTTCTTGTATTCCAATAAAAAAACATCAAGAAAAAGACAAATGATTAATTAGTTTTAGGTGAAACTGGCTAGTATAGTTCCAAACTTTGGAAGGTAGACTGTTATTTTTTGTGAAAAGTGAATAACAATGGCTGTTCATGTCCTTATAAGTGATTATTTGTACATTTTGTTGAAATTGATGTTGCTCATTCGTTTTTTGTAACTCGCCTGCTAAACTGTTCTCATTATTTATATTAACTGTCACTCTCTTGTAGCTATTTTAAGTAACACCTAACATTAAAATTTACTGTAATATTTTAATTCTGTTATAATATTATGTATGTGATAACTAAGTTCTTGTAAGTTATATTTTACCTATTCTTGAACGATTTTTCTCTTTATTATTTGGCATTTTTTCAATGACCATGCTAATTACTTTTGTAAGCATAACTACATTCCTTTTAACTAGTGCCTTAATCACAATATTGTAACTGTAAAGTTTTTAATATTACTATATTTTGTAAAAAGTACCAAATATATTTTAAAATAAACTTATCCCGCTTTTGAATGACGATAACAGTGTTATAAATATACTATCATGGGATTCTAGTCTGAGTCTCATAAGGATCAAAGATGATCCCATCTGCAGGTGGTGCTTGAAGGATGATAAAACATAATAGCACATACTCATGTATTTATACCTAGGGTACCTTGACGGAAATTACTTATGATACGCCAGTGACCTCAATATAACCTAAAAAGCAACGAATGTCAAAAATCTAGTGTTTATCCCCAGAATAGGCCTTTTCATCTAGATATATTTTTAAGACGCATGCGCTCGTTTTTAGATCCAAAAGTTTATTGGGTAATGCGAAGGTGAAGCCTCATTGGCTATAGTTCCAACAGAAAATGCTGATTGGCCATATCGAATATGGTGGGTATTATATTGACGTTCTGTCAATTGTCAACAGTGTCAATCACCATGGGCATTCGTCAACAATAACAACATAGTATTTTTGTTTTTATATTCCTGGTGTGTATTAATTGTATTAATAATTCAATTCCAAAAAACGTTACTTATTCGTTACTGATGAGTGTGGTACTGTGGTCTAAGTGTTTTGGTTAAAATGGCCGCTCTCGCTGGATGCGAGATGTAAACAGAGAAAGTCATTTGTCATCTAAATGAAAAGGCCTATTGAATAAGGATGGAACTATATAATTGTTTCACAAACACTTTAGAGTGAGAGAAGACGAGGATCTGTCCGTACCCTGTTAAGATGACTTTAACGTCAATTTCTATCAAGTGACCCTATTTATACCTAACCTGAAACCCTCAGACGACTGAAACCCAACGTGGAACAGTATACTGGAGGTTTAACCATACTCAGTACACAATAGGTAAGTCTGATATTTCAATAAGCAGTGTTGTGCAGAGTAATGGTTGAGCATGTGCCTGGTAATATTTTTCTCTACTTCTATGTGTAGATAGGAAAAGGCAAATCTACGTCGAGTATGGTATTCATAGCGAGAAATACCAAACTTGGGCCTAATATGGACGACCCTGGGACATCCTATCTTGTAACCGGCGGCTCGGTGGTCGAGAGCGTGAAGGCGCAGAGTTCGTATGGGGACTCCCACCGAGACATAGGTTCGAATCCTAGTTAGGCCATGGATGTTTGTATGCTTAAAAAAAGAAACATCGGCCGTCTCTCGACCGGCACTGGACGTCTTGTTCGTCCTCTGGACATACACAAGACGTCTTCGTGTTATCTGGGTCTATATGATTTAACTTTAAACCTGCTTCCAGAAACTTTCACGCTTAGCATGGCAGTCACCCCACAATTTCTCCCATGAAGATGAAGGGCATGCGAGGAGTTGAAAACTACAGTATTGGCTTTGGCTGTATGTCCCATGACAAGAGGCCATTAAGAGAGGAAGAAGAAGACTATGTTTATCGAAGGCCAGGAAGTTAAGAAGAAGAAGAAGAGTAGTGTTGTGCGTCATGTGTCATGTCAAATGTCTGGCGTTTCAGGTTATGTTTTCGTATGTTCTTTGTTCTGGCGGGTAAAATATTGTTGGATGTCGAAAAAAAATCATATCATTCATTTATAAGAAGATAGGAACTTCGGAACTCATAAAAAAGTTGTATGTGATAATCTGATTTTAAATTCTAGCCAAAGCATCAGAGATTAGGTTGATATAAGCAAACTTGAAATCCCAATTTTAGGAGTGAAAAATGGCAAAAGTTCAGTTGTGTAATATCACAGTGATGGACAATCCCAGTCAATTCCTCAATCCATTTCAATTCGAAATAACCTTTGAATGTATAGAGGAGCTCAAAGAAGGTAACATATTCATTTCGATTTTTCAGTCGTGCCCCAATAATATACTTTACAGATCTTGAATGGAAGATGATATATGTGGGATCTGCAGAAAGTGAAGAACATGATCAAGTACTGGATTCAGTATTCGTAGGCCCCATTCCCGAAGGAAAACACATGTTTGTTTTTCAGGTAAATGTTACTAATAGACAATAGTTATATTGCCCAACACCCAATTACCTAGGTTTGTGTAAAATAATGGAGGTGTGAAGGTGATTACATGGTCCTAATTCTTTTTCTTCAGTGTTCAATGTCTTGAATTAATGAACTAATAGGTATATGATTTGGTACCACAGAGCATGTTCCTGATGGGATCCTATTTGGATTAATTGGGAAACTATTAATCTTATCTGGCCTGAATTTTTCAGAACCTGTTCACATTCTGTTGTATCAATTGAGTATCTATTGGATTTCCCTAAAATGTGGTTGTTATATACAACTAAATTAAGAATTAAACTGAGAACTTGAAAAATTGAATTGAAGAAAACATCTAGGTATGAAAGTTTATACATTTACAACTGTCATTTAAATTAGGAATCACAATGTTGGTCAACTTTCAGCTCAAAATAGTTCAGATCAACAAAACAACTAAGTATTAAGAAATTTTGGAGACAATAGATCATTGTTCAAAGTTAGGTTTGGTGATATTTTAGTGGAATATTCTATATCAATCAATTCATGGATTGGGAACACCAAGAACAATTTTTAACATCATTCTGATAGTCAATCAACAGAAATTCCACATTCAATTTTCAAGTTATAAAACTCATGTTGTGATAAACAACAACGATTTAAACAATTCACAGTGTTCATCAATATTTGTGATCAAATCATCTATTTTCATAACACTCATTATATAATTGTTTTTATAACTGTCATGTTTGAAATCATTCAATAAACTGAAGTCACAAGTCAATACAGAGAGTTTTCTTTTTCCTCAAAAAGAAGAACAAATCACTTGAGGATTATTGAAGGCTCACAACACAATTTTCAAATAATATCATACATATCAATTAATTCATTTATGTATGACTTATTATAAGTAAGCCAGAATTTCAGTCATCAGGGAGACTGAGCAGCAAAGGGAAATAGGTAATTAAATTCAAAGATGTTCTCTTATTCATGTCAAGAATGCTAGTCTGTTCTCTCATTTTAAATTTTTGTTCCCCTTGAAATACAGGTTCTTCATATACTGTCAATAAAATCTGGTTTCAATAAATCAGAAAGACAGAAAAGCATGGATCAGAAACCTGATGCCTTTTTTGAATTTCAGGCTGACCCTCCAAATGTATCCCGCATTCCAGAGAATGATGCAATTGGAGTGACAGTAGTATTGCTAACCTGTTCATATAAAAGCCAAGAATTCATTAGAGTAGGATATTTCATCAATAATGAATATGATGATCCTGAACTGAAAGAAAATCTCCCAAGTCCTCCTCAGTTTGACAAAGTAAGTACCCTAACACTCAACTTCAACACTTAGTATTGACTCTAGTGATTGAAATTCATGTTTTAGTACCTCTGCATTATATTGCCACTGATATTGACTAAATAATGAGCCTGTTTCAGGATAAAATTTAGACCATTATAGCTCACTATAACAGTGTTTTGTTCCTCATTGCAAATCTCAATGAACAATCATTAAGATTCTTGATCTTAGGTCTTCATCTCAAGCCATCTGAAGACATCTTATGGTTCATATAAACCCTCAAAAAAAGGATAAAAAATCTGGTTTTCCAATAATTAGTTTTTTCCAATGTTTCTCATAATTTTATGAACCAATTGTCCAAAGAAAACATGCTTTTTTGGAGGTATCATAACATGTTGACTCAAAATTATTGCAATCAATGTGATCAATAGTGAGCTCTGAAGAACAAGCCTGCAATAGGGATTACTTTTCACAGGACATTCCAAGTGATTTATTTGCCTCAAAAGAATATGTATTTTTATTCAGCTCTCCTGTGGTACTCATACCAAATATGTCTCTTTCTGTGGGTTCAAATATAAATCAAGTATTTTCATGGTTCATAGTTTATGAAGAGTCATAGCTCCCAGTTGAGTTATTCTTGTTGTTTAGTTGAATTTGAAACAGTGGAATTTGTGTTTTTATCAACTTGTCACAACCAAAATAAATAAAAAACCCAAGAAAATGCAAATAGTCACATTTGTCCCAATAAGGTAATTTCCAATGAAGTTTCAATAAGATTTATTTTCTCCCATTGCAAAACTAAGTGTGCCTCCAAACCTTCATGAAAGACATTAGTATAGAATCAATATGGGATGAAACATACTTGAGATCCATTTTCATTCATATACAAGTATGCCACCAGAATATCTCGGATTTTTGTAAGGTGGGTGAAAGAAAATAGCATACATCTTCCTTCAATCGATTTTTATTCTCGTTAATATCCAATGGTTATAGAAACCTTTTTTCTCCAAATAATGAAATGGTTATTTGTTTTACCAGGCAGGAAAGTACAAGATTTAATGCCGCGGCTGATGGTTCATTCAGCCAAGGCATTGAATCTGATTTTCTGCCGTGTGAAACATAATTTTTTCTCCAAATTCCTCCATCGTTTTGTGTACACCCTAAGTCATTGTCAAGTTGACAATGATTTAGGGTGTACAATGGGTGACAATGTCAACTTTGATTACCAATTTGATTCAAATTATCACTTGGAACAAGGCATAGCAACAAACTTTTCCTACCCAGGCAGAGAAAATACAAGATTCGTGCCGGTCAAGTGTAGTTGAAAAGTCACTTTCTATGTCATTTGGAGGAAAACACATTTTTCTTTATAGTCAATATGGGAATGGGTGCATGCTAGTGATATTGCAGATCTGATTTTACTAACCTGTCTCAAGATAAAAAAAGTTCTCACTATTGTCATGATCCTAGACAAAACTTTCAATTTAATGACAGATATTATCTTATATGAACGATGTACAATTACACCCTGTATATTAGGTATTTCATTCATTTCATTCAGATCGGCAAAGAGATTCTCTTATATATTATAGAGGTTATCTAAGTGATGATTACTTAGACATAAACTGAAGAAATATATAGACGGATCCAGCAAAATAAGTATCCAAAAACCGAAGGCGTAAATTCAGTCAATTAAAATCTAGCTGAAATAAGTTCATAGACAATATCAAGAATGACATTTCATTTCAAATCTAGTGAAAAATATATGGGGATCGAGAGTGTCTTTTCATTTCCATATCTTCTGAAATGCCACTACTCGGGTAGAGTTCCTAATAATTGTACTTGACACTGCTGTTTTGACGTTTTTTGTATATTAAGAGTACAGACACTATGACAAGCACTGACAATCAGACATAACCACAAATAAATTGATGAAAAAGCGGGAACTGACAGTACGCGGACGTACATGACATCAATTTCAAAGGTTCGGCAAATTGAGAGAATTAGGAGAGAGATGCAAGTTTGTGCAGTTTCCAACTATGAGAAATACTTCCTTTGGCAAAGAATTCAAAGGCTTTGCCGCGAGTTTTGATAAAGAGTTGTTCGACATATTCCGAGGCTAATGAAAAAAGGATGTACTAACTGGGTCTGTTCAGTGTATGTTTGACTCTGGATATTGCTTGTGATGGAATGGATGATGAAACAACAGCAACTTCCTGAATTGACTGACTCAAACATATTTCACAACCCTGTTTAACCGAGAATTCATTAGATCATCTTCGTATACGAACTCTTAATAATAATTTTGTGAAAACATATAGTCACTTTGTGGAACTCTGATGTACCAGATATTGATGTATCTATATCAAAGAGTTGAATATATTGTTCGTGTATCGCTTCTTCAAAGTTGAAATCCCAAGTCTGAATGTGCATGTTCATGAGTAGTTCAGAGGAGTGCTAGACTACATACCTCCTAGTAGATTTTGAACCACTTCTTGGGTACCAAGATACGAGCAAGATATTAGAGAGTTGAAGTGTTGTCATGAACGTTAACGTAAACGTAGAAATTGACAGCTACGCATGCGCATTTTCCAATTCTTCACGTTTGCGTTGTTAGTGGTCTTACGGGTGTACGTTATCTCACGTTCCTTCACGTATACCTTAAATATCAACGTACGTTAACCAAACTATACTCGAAATATGCCGATGAGTCAAAATTATCAAATTCAAGATCACCAACGAGTTCTGCATCAAGGAGTCCTCTAATTTTGACAGGAATAAATGTTCAAATCTAAACACAACCAAAAATGACCAATACAAACCGAAAACAAAATGTATTATTACGTTATGATGACAGTGACGACCAAAGTGGCGACTTCAACTCAATTTAACGACAATACGTAAACGTTATTTTTCGTACGTTAACGTCGACGTGGAGGTCTACGTACAACTCTCTAGTATCAGATCACATAACAAGAACGCTTAACGAGTGCACCATTTATGTAAGGTATTGAAAATGACCTTCCGATGGCCGGGTTCAAACCAACAATCCCATTTAGCAATGTGAACGGCTATCCTTCAGCCTTATCATTCAATATTTCGAGAAGAAATAATTTTCTAATCAATTTATCGCACCCTTTTACCCACTCGAGGAGACGCTATGCACTCCCATACAAAAATCAAAGACAGAGAAAGATATATGGATGTACTCTTCCCAGAACTTGTGGAGGAAGGAAGATGCGAGGATCCTTTATCTAAGCGAAAAACATATTCTTCTCCTTGTCTGGCAAAACATATGATTTGTTCCAAAATCGTTTGTGGTTACGTTTGATTGTCACTGCTTGTCTAGTGTCTACATACATATACAAAAAACGTCAAAATAGCAGTATCAAGTACATTCAGGAAATCTAATCTGGTATATCAAAATGACAGGCGATAATTCTTCATATTACATTTCCCAATTGTTTCTAGGTGATTAGGAATATATTGGCATCTGAACCTAGAGTAACCAGATTCAAGATAAATTGGGAGGAAACCAACGCCCAAGAAAACGTGCCAAATCTAGACCAGAACGGAGCTGGACCTTCGACTAGTGTAGAAAATGAAACCAACCCTCCTGCCGAACTACCCGCATTCAATGAAAATTCGAATTCTTGGGCAACCATGGAGTGCACGTAAAAAATTGTTAAAATTCACACATTTACCTTGAAATCAGAAAAATTAAATTATTCGTACAATTGAAGAAATCTCCCGAAAATTATTTATATGAATTGATCTATACTACATTCCAGTTAAGAATGATGTGTGCTATGAGATAGACCCTACACTATTTGATCTCGCTTTTCATTGGTCAGGCGAGTTTACACTAGCCTAATTTTAGTTAATGATGAAACAATAAAAGTGGTTATATTCGCGGTCTATAAACACTAAACAGTGAAGTGAAATCAAAAGATAAGGTTATTGACAATCCAAGTTTTATAAGTGAGCACATAAAGGTTGTAACAAATTTTTTTCAGATAAGTCGATCTTTTTCAGATGACGTCATTAAAAATATGAGTGGACCAACAAATACGCATCTGAAGAAAAAACAATTGACGTGCCTGGGCTTTTTTCCCGATGGCCATGTCGAATTTTTAATAAATTTGTTCCAACCTTTACGTACTCACGTATTAAGCGGCGTTCACAACCAAACTTTTTACGTTTTGCTCTTTACGTTTCGTATTCTGATTGGTGAAGCAAAATCTGTGATTGAAATGACGCAGAAAGCTGAAAATATTCAGCTTTTTGCGTTGTAAGAAGCCATCGTCTGTGGAAATAGTAAAAATAGAAAATGATATTCTTGAATGGAAATTACTACTGTTAGTTCTCATAAAACAATACGTGTATGGAACCTTCTATATATAGAAGTTATGATGATGTTTTTGCTAATGAGTTTTCCGTGAATCCACGGAATATTAGATAGGTATAGGTACTGTTCAATTTATTATTTTTCTCTTGATGATTGATTTTTCTCTTCAAGTATTGAATGAGGATCAATTTACGTCACTGCCAGTTCTATATGAATATCATTAACTATCTAATTAATATCATTGTTATGATTATTTAACTTCATTTCAGGATGAAACACAAATGACAAAACCAAGGCAACTGAGGAAAGCCGTAAAAAGTCATGTTGATTTTGTTGTTGTTGTGAATGACATTTGCATAGGTTCAATTCACGTTTAATTTCAGATTCTGCTTCACCAATCAGAATCCGAAACGTGAAAAGTTTGGTTGTGAACGCAACTTAAGTCTACTCGGGCCGGTCTACTAGTCACAAACACCGAACACCATAACCTCAATTTCGACTTTAAATATTATTATTGTGTTATCAACTCAAAAACTGACGATTTAATCCATTCTGTATCTTGCAAAATGGATTCTCCATGTCAGGTACACACATTTATAACTGGTTGGTCAATAAACTCTGCAATTGAGCGCTTTTCTACCTTGAACGAGAGAGAGGAAAGTTCTCACCTCTTCCATCTTTCTCTTCAATGCTACCAACGTGGCCACATTGAAATATAGAGAGGTCCGATAAATCTTTCCTTGTCTAACATCTTGTTTGTCACTGAACTATTTTTGAATTCAACAGAGTGTCAAATTAACGATATCAACAAGATATGTCAAAATAAGTATGATATAATTTGTAATTTCATTTGAAAAGTTATCAGTCAATGACATTTATGACATTGACACATCACATCATTAGTAATATTCTTTTTACCAACTTTGACTGATATTAACCAAGATTCTCAGTGCAGCTCAATAGCTCAGTTGTATTAAATGTTTCATTTATCTTAGTCTGATGTGAGTTGTCTCAAGAACTTATTGAGACTATTTCTTCCCCCTCACCCCAACTGAGCTTGCTATTCATCTGGTGTTGTAGTGAGAAAAAGGTGAGACTGGATTAATTCTATAGTAATTCGGTGGTTATGTGCCATTTTACATTTTGGTTGAATTATGTTGGGTTATGTTTTCTTCTCTTGCCCATCCTGACAGATAAAAACGTGTTCTTTTTATTCAATCGACAACTCAAATCCGTCTCACCTCCTTCTTACTCAATTGATCTCAGTAGTGAAAATGTAACAAGGTAAAAAGAATATTGCTATTATGATCTGAACTAACTGAAATATCTCACTAGAACTGAACCAGAATCAGTTACCTATTATGCTGCGTTTTTTCCAAAGAATTTGATTAGTTAGAATGCATCTTAACTGATACAGTTCAGTCCGAGTGAAATATGTCAGTTCAGAAGGAAAGGATATCACCATAACATCGGAAATAGTTCAGTGGCCAGACTGGAAGTTAGACAAGGAAAGATTTATCGGTCCTCTCTATTTTTCAATGCGGCCAAGTTGGTAGCATTGGAGAGAAAGATAGAAGAGGAGAGAACTTTCGGGCGTGTTTTTCACTCCATCGAAGAAAGTGCGCACTGATAGATGCGGTTTTTTGTCGTGACGTCACCAATTGTTCTGTTGGAATTTATGCTGGAAGGATTGAACAATGGTTTATACAACACATTGATGGAAACACGGATTTTGTTGTGTGTCAGTCATCATGTATCTTGAGAATCAGAAAAGGCTAATTCGACTTTATTGATTAACACTGACTCTTTCTTCTAAAATCTCTCAAGAATCTCAAAAATCCTCAATATTAATTGTTTTCTATCAAATCAAAACAAAAAACAACACTAAAATGTGTCAACTGTCATGTCAATCTCCTCCAAACTGCTGGATTCTCGAAATGCGATTCAAAAGTGCGCATTTTATTACAACAGTTTGATGGATGTCCATCAACATTCCAGCGGAATTTTGCAACAGTTTGATGGTTTCTTCGATTCATGCGCATGATAAAATGTTGGAATGAAAAACGCACCCCCTCTCTAGGAAAGGATATCATCATAACATCGGAAATAGTTCAGTGGCGCAGACTGGAGGTTAGACAAGGAAAGATTTATCGGTCCTCTCTATTTTTCAATGCGGCCAAGTTGGTAGCATTGAAGAGAAAGATAGAAGAGGAGAGAACTTTCCTCTCTCTCGTTTGTAATAGGGAAAGAGCTCAATTGTTCTCAAATATTTGTAATTGCATCTTTGTTAGTGTAAACACAGTAGAGAGCTTACAGAGCTCTGTAAGCTCTCTACCGTGGTGTAAAGTAGGCTCTGCTATTCATGTCATCTACTTTATTCTTATCTGGAATATACTATAGTTATGGAATAGTTCTCTTCATTGTTCATCACACATATCATCTCATGTCCCATATTATTTGATCTATTTCTGAAAAAGGTTAGGTGAAAATTAGCAACTCTGTAAATATTCAATTGGAAGTATTCTATGTTAGTTTTTCACAAATATGCCGAACTGTATGATTATTGTGTAATCAATTTTTTTGTGGAATCGAATTTGTTTTTTACTCAATATACTGTTTCTAGAATATGTGTGTGTGATATTGTTATGTAGATGATTTGAGATTTGCTATACAGGGTGTTTCTTGATAACACCACGAAATCTCTGGTGAGATTGGGTCTGAACATTGTTCTTGAGAATTGTTTCCATTTAATATCACAAACACCGTTTAATAAATATAAACGGAAGTTGTCACGATCGATAAGGATATTATAGTTATACAGGGTGACTCTGGCTAGCTAAACCCGGCCGCTATTTTTTTCATCGAACGAGATCACTTTGGTGAGATGTTATGAAAAAAACATCAAGAACGAATTGATATAATGAGGAACCATTTTTGAGTGGCCCATTTTGTAGAGGTTGCAACTTCCTGAGGAAGAATTTCTATATGAAGTCTTATTTCTGTTTGAGGACTCAGCTCACGAGAGAATTCCGGTGGAATTTAAAAACACCCTGTATGACTGCAGTTTTGGAAATTCTTCTGGATATGGTGCAAACTTTATGAAGAAGATTAAGGTGAAATGACGGATATTTTGGTGAGGCCTAAAGTTTTCAGGAATATTTCTGAAAATGAAGGTGCACAATGGCAAATAATGCCCACCTGGTATTGCGCATTCTTGGACCAGAAAGAGAACTAAAATTTTATTATACAGAGTGTGCGATTTCCACTCGCAACACCTTCCTAAGTTGGTATCCGTTAACCGATTTTCAAAAATATATAATATTAGTTATTTTTGAATCTGGTGTGCGAAATGTTACTTTGGTGATCCAGAACTTATTTTTTAATGACGCGCACGAGTTGCAAACCACAATTTTTTTACAAACGTCAAAAAATATATAAAACATAGTGTTGAAGTGGCTTAAAAGGTCTTAATTATTGTTAAATATTCATAAATAAATAATTCCTTGGATGTTTGCTCGATTGAGGGCCATAAAAAGTCTAAATACCAAAATCTCATATAGTTTACATACAAATGCACTAAGTATGTACTTCGCGCATCTATTTACTTCGTGTACTGCTTTGCACATGGTGACGTGGTAAGGTAACAAAAAGTGTCACTTCGCAAACTTTTATCAATGCGGGAACCCTGTCACTTTTTCACGTTTGTAGAAAGAAATATTCACGATACGAGTATCTAAAGTTCATATCACGATATGAGATGGAAAAGTTGTCAAACCAGGCCAAGGGCCGACTTTGATAACCCATCGATGGAACTTCCACTACCACATATATGTCTAAATTCAACAAAATTCAAAATATAAACAAACATATTCGGCGTTTGATATTCGGGATATTAAAAAGAAAAACTTGAATTCATCTGTTAGACGTTTTAACCTTGCCTAATGTGTACCAGTGTGATGATTTTGGGAGAAATGCCTGCTGGAATATTTTTATCAAGGAAGAGATCAACTGGTGATCTGCACGCTTACGTCTCACATATATGGCAGCAATCTATTGAAAAATGTGGTGAAACCTCAGCCGTGGCACTTGATATCTCCAAGGCATTCGATCGAGTCTGGCATCACTGAATCCTCGCCAAGCTTCCATCTTATGGCTTGCCTCCCTAGCTATGTTCTCTGCTAGCTTAGTTTTCTCTCAAACAGGGCTCTCCATGTAGTGGTCGACGGAGTTTCATCTGACTCTTTTATCATAAATGCTGGTGTTCCGCAAGGATCAATTCTAGCACCAACACTATTTCTACTCCATATCAACGATTTGTTGGAAGCAACTTCATGTCCAGTACAAAGCTTCGCGGATGAAATTACCCTCCATACCGCCTTCTCTTCCAGGGCTCCAATACCAGCCAGGCAAATCAGAAACGAACGAGGGAGAAATGTTGACAACATAAATATAGACTTGGCAACAATTCTAGAATGGGGATCCAATAACTTGGTAGATTTCAATGCAAACAAAACACAAGCATGTCTTTTCTCTAGGAAAGCCGATCTCACTGTGCCCAACATAAGCCTGTCAGGAGTAACCATACCTTTGAAGACATCCATTTCGATGCTTGGTATTACTATCAGCAATAACCTCTCTTGGGTAAATAACGTGAGATCAATTGCTGAAAGTGCATCCCAAAAACTTGGTTTTCTGTTTCGGGCCAGGAGCTATATTTCACTTCCAGTCGGCTGCTTATGATCTATAAGGCACAGATCCGACCTGTCCTAGAATACTGTTCCCATATTTGGAGTGTAGCACCCCAACATACCCTGAAACTGTCGGGTTCCGTCCAAAAAAGGGCAATTCGTCTAGTGGGTGATGCCTCGCTCACAAACTCACTCACTTCTCTGGAACACCGTAGACAAGTTGGCGATCTGGCCCTATTTCATCGATATTTTCATGGACGATAATCTTCTGAAATATCAACAATTGTTCCTTCCTTGGCAGTCCCCGCGAGATTAACCCGTCGAGTTGAGGTTTCGCACCCCTTTGTGGTCACTTTGGAGACCTGCAGAACATCTCTTTCCAAAGACTCGTTTATCCAACGAACAGCGAGGCCCTGGGACACATTGCCAAGGGAGATGTTACCCGAGGCATATAACCTCCAGAAATTTAAGAAGAACACCAATTCCTACTTTATTTCCCGTGGTTCTCACGATGTTCTCTGAACATTACAGGATATCCCTTTTCATGGGAACCAGAACATAAAAAAAATCAATTATAATAGTCATATACTAAAGACAGGAGTCATCAAGAGAAGGAGAGTATTCTTCATATTACTATATTGGATAACATGATCCAATTTTAGTTTATTTCATATATGGCTTAGCCTAGTTGCCAAGCGCACCTTACCAAGCCGCTGGCTCGGGTTCAATCCCTGGCAGGCCAGTATGTTTCTAGTCAGTTCTTAGTTTCCTATTTTTTTTTTTTTTATTGACTCGTCCGATACTTGATGAAAATCCGTGGCAAATTTGAAAACTTCACAAACGATAAGATTTCCACAAAATTCTCAAACACATGATATGTTTCGCCAACACAATAGCTTATTCGTCAGGATCGTACCAGTATATCACCTGACGAAGCTACTACTGTATTAGCGAAACGTCGTGTCGTGTTCGAATTTTTTTTGGAAATCTTATCGTTTGTGAAGTTTTTACATGTCCCTATTCGAATGTTAAGAACTACACGTTTGTAGAAATAAATCTTGCGTGTATTTCGAACACTAATTGGTGATACCGCTCTCCAAAGATTACCGCGCTTTATAGTTGATTTCTGTACTTCCCACTCAACTGCATAACTCTTTACATAACAAATACATCCATCAATCTACGAGAAAGATAAAACCACACGTACGTACTCCTACCCATACTACTACAATCCGAACCCATCATGTGTAAAAGCACGGGTGTCGATTACATCCACGAGTTTCAAGTTTCACTTCAAATAAACCGCCTCGATCTCCTGTCCTACCTCAAGGTCTCTCAGGTCTCAGGATCGTTCCTTGTTATATTTGTTGCGCAGAAAGACGTTTGCGATCAATCCGTCACAGAGAAGACGACCTCCCCTACGATGCCGGCTGTTTTTCCCCCACCACTCGCGTGCTCGCGCTACTGATTGTCTCTCAGCGGAACCAGCTCAACAACGCCCACTTTGATTATAAATATAGATTTTTTCTTTATATCATTATCAACAATAATTGACTATTGAATACTTGAAGCTTATTTCAATGGCAGTTTGCAGCTATTATTACCAGGTCCGATTGCTCAAATCATTATTATATAATTACCAATTGCATATTAAAATGTCACAAACCTATTATTATGATTCAAATCCCGGATCGATTGGGATTTTAATCATTATCTATTGGCGACAGTGGAGAACAAAACCCCAAGGCATGTTGGTACGGATGCATATCTTCCTTGCATAATGATTAATTTCAAAAAAAAAATGTCAACCAATTACTCTCCATATATATGAATGAATTTTTCCTGGATTTCATCATAACCGATCCAATTTCATTTCGAGTATCGGGTCAAGTCATTCGATAACGATATAACCTTCCAACGTCTTACGACCCGTGTACATAGAGGTCAGAATCGTGTACACGTCAATCTAACCTTAAAGTAAATGTTATTTTTTTGTGTATCAAATGACGCTTCCGACCGACCAATCAGATAGCCGGCTGCCCTGCTCCTGCTAGTGAACCCCGTTTTTACCCATCAAGTGAAAATTGTTAAAAGGTACGTAGAATTTTATTCATTTTATGTTGAAAACCGTGTGGGTTGCGGTTTCATGCTATTTATTGTGGAAAAACAGCTGTATCTTGACATTTTTCGATGAAACTAATGGGATTTTGGAATCTAGGCTTCACATGATCACGACGACGGAAGTTTTTACCTTGAGTTTCTTTGTAACCTTACATTGGTATTGATTTTTTAATGCCATTATTCATCAGGCGTCAATCATCTAAACAATGAATACTCATTAATGTTTGATTTATTACTATAATCGAATCTATTGTTTTCAGATGAATTGATGTGATTTTTCAATTTTAAATTCACTTTCTTTACCCCCCCCCCTCCACCTTTAAGATCACTCGATAGTTAATTTGTCTTCCCCACCCATTTCCTATCGATAAATTATGTTTTATTGGGCTCGATACAGACGTTTTGGAGGCGTGTTTGCAAATTTCAACTTGCTAATAATCGAAAATGAGTACATAACTTGAGGATCGAATTATGCAAATGATATCAGCTATTTTATTATTAATTATATTATGAAAGGCCTTGAGGCTCGAACAAGATGGACTGGTCCATTTTTAGACAGGCGGGGGGAAAATAGCAGCGGAGAAGCAGAAGAAAAAGGTGCATCGTAAAAGATGGCGGTATCGTGATATCTCATTATCGTGGTTGCAAATTTGCGAATTTGTTTGTAAACAAATCACTATAGATAGTGTTCGTACCTGATTGTAAGCCGCTTATAAACGAAATTGTTTTTGTTTTAAATCCTAAGTTTTCTGTGTTCGAAATGGACTGATGCATGGATGAAATTAGATTTTTTCGTAGAGGTTATGTTTGGTTTTCAAGTTTTCTTCGTTTGTTTCAGGTTCATATAAAGAAAAGGGACTATTCAACAAGGATTTACAGTGGTTAGACGAGAGACCGTTGATCATTTGATTTTAATTTCGAGTTTGGTGGCTGTTATTTATTTTTATTTGTGTGCAACAAACCCTCACCACAGATCCCTCACAATGTCTAACCCCTTTGTGAAATAATGCTGTTGTCAATTTTATACTTTTTTGATGTGTACAACGATAAAATGGCTTTATTCGAGTTCGGATAAGTGATAATGAAAGTTAAACTGTTAAAATACGGACACAGTGGATCTACTTGGTAGTGAGACAAAATGCTCTGGACTTGAACTCAAACATTCCAAGGTGGATTAGATTACTAACTAAGAATGTACTTGAGTGAAACTGTGATTTAAAACGAAGACTAGGTGTTATAAAAATGTCTCAAACGCCTCACAAAACGCTACAAAAAATGTGCAAATCACCGAAAAGTGCATCCTACCATACCATCAAACAGGATAAGATAGATTACGAGAATCTGAACACCAACTGCACGGTAGTGGGGTCCAACAACCTCAACCTCGTGAAGAAGCCACAGATGGTCTCCAGCATGTCACCTGCATACTCGAATCCCAGTCCTGGTTATCCCCCTTCACCTTATTCCTCGCCAGCTAGTCTTAAGTCTCCATCTCCATCGTTGAAGCCTCCTACGCCGCAGCCGAATTTTCCAGTTATGCAGATCATCCCCAACAACTTGCTGGCTAGGTCTATGCAAGCTTCGCAGCCACAGAACATCATCAAGTTGAAACCTCATCTGAACATTTTGCCTAAACCTTCGGCCAGTCCACAGCCATCACCAAAACCTAGTGTCAGGTAAATACAATGATTAGTAAAACTTTAAAGTCAACTTTCAGTGATGAAGTGATGCTGAAATATCCATAAAAATACAAGCAAATTTCAAATACTTGATAGCATAACCTTGAGATGAATGATTGTCCAGTCCATCTCTATCCTGCATCATTTTTTTAATTTTTCAGTAGAATCTCTGGATAATTATTATTTATACAACTTTTAACAGTAAAATCTTACCCTGCAGCATTTTAATGACATTCTGATTGACTGGATCGTTTTTATGTAAATGTTCATATTTTTATATAATGAAAAATATTGGCATTGACATCTCATTGTCAGAAAACATTTTTCCATTGTCAAAATGATTTGGTTTTTGTTGCACACCTAATACCAGTTTCTTATGAGTACAATAACAAATACAGTTGGAAGTTGAAGATGTGCCATATTTTTACTTAGAACCACTGATGAAATCCAACAAGTACTTTAGATACATATGCTTATATTATTCAAATGATTTTGAATTCAACAATAATTTATATTTTTATATTATCTCAAAATTCTAGGATGGCCAATATCTGACCACAACACTGTTCCCCTTCATTCTATTTACAGTATTGTGATATGTTATGATTATGCAAAACATGCAGATCCAATTAATTAAAATTCCTTGATAACAAAATTAACTGTTCAGTCAAAATATTGGCCAAGTATGATAATTCCAATTTCATCCTAGCAAATCATGTGAACAACTTTATAGCAATTCAGTTTCTATATGTTGTTATCATGCTTATTTGAATTATGTTTCACTGACATCAAATCACTTGAGTAAAAATCTGAACCATGTGGATATATTGAACATGATGTTATATCCAGTTATATCCTAGGGTAACATATTGTTTACCCAATTATGACAATTATTTTGATTATTCATCAGAATAATGATAAATACAATTTCATTTCTTAGGCATTCATAATGATCCCTTGAAAAAATATATATGTTGAAAAATGTAGAAAAAAATGTAATAATTCTCAAACAGGAAAAACAACCTTTAGAAAGGATGATCCTCGGGATTATCACAAACAGAAATAATACTTTTCACCATATTTTAATATTCTGAAAGATTATATTCACCTGAAATTTCCGATGTGTTTACTCATCCCTTTGTATCTTCCAATGACAGATATTATATATTTTCCATGTTTCATCAACAACTCATCACAAATTATACTTGAGAGCTAAGACAATCTGAAAATATGCAAATTATTTGAAAAAAAAAGTCACTACAAGGATGATGATTACAATACAATAAATAAACCACAATACATATAAGAGACAAACTAACTTAACTAAAACAAACATTATTCGATAATTTTACCTCCTCTGAAGTAACAAAAGGTCCCCATAAAAACTATAGGAAACATGTATCTCAGTGAAAATCGTTGAACTGATAAAAAGTTTCTCTTAATCTGATCCATCAGGTGACAGTATAAAAGAATCAAAACATCCTTATGAGGGTTCATATTCAATAAAATAACACCATATCATCGCCACGACTTTTTGATTTTAAAAATTCATATTAGAGACATGTTATAATAATATATATGTTCCTCATCAGCCCAGGTCCAAGTTGTCATGGGTATGAAAAAGGTTTTCATTTCCCTGCATCTCACTAAGATACTGAAAATCTATCAGTTGATTCAAGAACGGACAACAATCCCTTCAAGGCTGTTTTTGTCTACTGTATCACCTGCTACAAATGACAGGATTTGAATGAAAAAAGGGCCTGAAAATCGCTAAAATGTTGATATCCAAACATAGTTCCAATTGGCATGAACCATCAAAAGTTGCTAAATATCCTCTGAATACAACCAAATTTTCGTTGTAAACGTTGATGAACTAATTCGTGATAGAACACGTCGCTCCACCTGACGGCAGCAACTTGGAACACTTCTGAACGGTTTCTTTTGATAATGAATTGATGATATGACCAATAAGCACAAACAAAAAACAAATGTGAACCGATTAAAACAAAGTAGATATGCCGCTTTGACAGCTTTGAAGAACTCCAATAGATGGCGTAGGCTTATTTTCTATCACAGGTCAAAACTGGGGAAAACTGCCCATATTTGGAGGTTGGTATAAAAAATTTAGAGCTCTTCACCAAGATCGATGTTGCCAGGAATTTTTCCTATAACTTAGGTCCCGATCCTTTGTCATACAGATCAGAGCAGGTTTGGAAAACGAGAAAGATTGACAGTTGATATGACCAATTAGCACAAAGAAGAAACAAATGTGAACCAATGAAAACAAAGTAAACATGCCGCTTTGAAAGCTTCCAAGAACTCCGATAGGTGGCGTAGGCTTATTTTCTATCGCGAATAAACACAACCTCTAATTCATTACATTCATGAATGACTAAGGTCAGGTCAAAACTGGGGAAAACTGCCCATATTTGGAGGTTCTGTATAAAAAATTTTCCTAGGTCCCGATCCTTTATTGTCATACAGATTGAATCGAATCATGGATCGGATCAGAGCAGTTTTGGAAAACGAGAGAGATTGACAGTTTCAATATTTGAGAAGGATAAAATCCCTCAAAGTCCCGTTTTTAGTTTTTTTCCCACTGTCAACAATGAAAGAAACTATTGGAGGTGGTACATTATAACGAAACGTCATTTCTTGTAAAAAAAGCAAGAGATAGGTACATTCCAAAACCTTCGTAGGCGTCACTTCTTTCTAATAAGGTACACCGGGGTAAGTAAGTATAACCGCGAATTTCAATAGCTCCGCTGTGAACTAAGAAAAATAATAATAATAATGAGTCATTCTCGTTCCAATCACGTCAGCTTACTGGTGGATAATTATTCAAAGGATCTACATTTTTTTCAATCATAGGGGTACTTAGGTTACACTTATATCCATGAGGCAAGTGTAACTGAGACTGTCCTCAGAGTAGTCCAGGGGCGCCATCTTCCGTACGTAGTTCCGCACCATGTCTGAAAGAAATTTATTGACGATCACGAATATTTAATGCACGATTCAACATGGGCAAGTGGACCCTAGCATAGGTTACCCAATTACCTCGCAAATCTTGTGGCCTGAACCTATATTCCATGTCGGCCGCATCATATTCTGTTTTCATTTTTGTAGAATTACGTCATCCGATGGAAATTCGAATAGAGTGAATTGATTTCCTGTGTCCTCACAGTTGGAAACTGCACAAACTTGCATCTTCCTCCTAATTCTCTCAATTTGTCAAACCTTCGATATTTATGTCATGTACGTCCGTGTACTGTCAGTTCCCGCTTTTTCCATCAATTCATTTGTGGTTATGTCTGATTGTCAGTTCTTGTCATAGTGTCCGTACTCTAATGGGTTGCGTGCAAGAACTGTCAGATGACCGACGCTGGAGGCAAAACATTATTTGTCTACAAGTGATCGAAATAGTTTTTCACAATTATTTTGGCATATGAATCGTATTTTTCCGCTATTCATCAATTCGCTCATGCCATCACATTGTGCTGTTGTAAAATGCACAAAAACTGCAGCGGAAGATGAAGGAGTCCGGATGGTACATTATGATTTAAAAGTAAGTACCTACTATAGTCACTCACATAGTTTTCATTTTTGAAATTTGGTTATTTCTCTGATTTCTCATCGGAATTCCTTCTCCAATATGAGCTAATAGAAATATACCTGAAATTTCTAGAATAATGCAAGAAGATTGGATTCATGCAATCAATCGGGAGGACTGGTCTGACATGCTGACGATCGTGTGTGTTGTAGACATTTTCAATATTTTAGCAGCATTAGCTTGTATTGCAGAAGTGGCAGAAGGCAGAAGGAATTTTAATAAGGAATGACAACATTTTATAATGATAACTATGTGAGATTACTATTTACCTGAAAAATCATATTCCCTAGTCTCTTGCTGCATTTTTTGTGCATTGTACAACAGCACAATGCAAAGGCATGCTTGAATTAATGAATAACGCAAGAAACACGATTCGTATGCCAAAATATTGTGAAAAACTATTTCAACCTTTTGATTCCTCTGTAACCAAATAAAAAAGTGAGGTTGTGTTTCTATAATTCACAGAAGAATGAGGTTGTGTTTCAATATTTTGCCTCCAGGGTGGGTCTTCGTGCACGCGACCTATACACAAAAAACGTCAAAACAGCAGTCTCAAGTACATTTATGAACTCTACTTCACACTTACCCCGGTGTACCTTATAAGCACTGATTCAAATGTCCGCAGTCCTCAAATTGTGATCCCGAGCAACCCCCAACCAACCGCGTCGATGGTCCCCACCGGACAGCCATTGCTCCTTAACCAAATGCCCATGTTGACGGCGCCAGGCGTCCAGTTCATCTTGAGGCCTCAGACGACCACGAAGCTGCAGCCCCAAATGCAAACCGCCACGGCCACCCCGCAAGGACTGATACTGCAGCCGGGCGGACAGCAGCTGCTGCAAATACCCAGATCTCAGCCGATGGTCAGGGTGCTGACGAACGGCATGCACCTCGCTCCGTCTTCCACCACCTACGTCACTCAAGTAAGTCGTTGCATTGAGTTTTCCAGTTCTTGGATAGCACTTGAGGGTATCCCTACAAGATTCGAGGAATAGAATGGTCAACACATAACAGAGCGGTGGGTAATCCTCTGTGCGTATCTATCATAGAACATAGTTATATAAAAAGAGGGAAGACATAACATTTCATTCATAAAACACTATTGGTTAACAATCATAATGATATATACTTCCGAAGTTTCAAATAAGTTAGAAAGAGATGGATGGATGGCAACGGTGTAGGCTATGCGTCAATGTCTACTTCAATGACAACGCTAGTATACCTATTAGTCGGTCTAATCTTTTAATTTTAGTACCAAATATTCGTAGTACCTTAGGCACTTATCTAAATTTGATTCATCATTATTTGAACACAAAAGAAACGTTTCTTGCAATAATTTAGTAAAATAACGACAACAACAACTCTGGATTCATCGGTAAAACAACCTCCAAACATAACGCCAATTGACAGTCATATGCCCGAGATCACCTTTCGCCAACGTACTATAAGGAAGATGTTATTGGGTCTCAACACCAACAACGCTTGGGGCTCCGACGGAATCCCACCGATTGTCCTCAAGAAATGTGCTCCCGAACTAACACCTGTTCTCTGCAAGTTTTTCAACTACTCTCACAAATTGGGGATATTCCCGTCCAACTGGAAAATTGCAAGAGTACAACCAGTTCCTAAAAAAGGCAAAAAGACTCTCTACCCAGCAACTACAGACCGATCGCACTGCTATCTATTATTTCAAAGATCATGGAGAAAGATATCAACATCGAGCTCATGAAATACCTGGAACATTCAGGTATTATCAACGATAGACAATATGGCTTCCGTCATCAGAGATCAACTGGTGACCTGCTCGCTTACGTCTAACATATATGGCAGCAATCTATTGAAAAATATGGTGAAACCTTAGCCGTGGCACTTGATATCTCCAAGGCATTCGATCGAGTCTGGCACAACCAACTTCTTGCCAAGCTTCCAACTTATCTTGTCCCCCCAGCTATATTCTCTGCTAGCTAGTTCTCTCTCAAACAGGTCTCTCCATGTAGTGGTCGACGGAGTTTCATCTGACTCTCATCATAAATGCTGGTGTTCCGCAAGGATCAATTCTCGCACCAACACTATTTCTACTCCATATCAACGATTTGTTGGAAGCAACTCCATGTCCAGTACACAGCTTCGCGGATGATAGTACCCTCCATACCGCCTTCTCTTCCAGGGCTCCAATACCAGCCAGGCAAATCAGAAACGAACGAGGGAGAAATGTTGACAACATAAATTTGGACTTGGCAACAATAATTCTCGAATGGGGATCCAATAACTTGGTAGATTTCAATGCAAACAAAACACAAGCATGCCTTTTCTCTAAAAAAGCCGATCTCACTGTGCCCAACATAGGCTTGTCAGGAGTAACCATACCTTTGAAGACATCCATTTCGATGCTTGGTATTACTATCAGCAATAACCTTTCTTGGGAAAATCACGTGAGATCAATTGCTAAAAGTGCATCCCAAAAACTTGGTTTTCTGTTTCGGCCCAGGAGCTATTTCACTTCCAGTCAGCTGCTCATGATCTATGAGGCACAGATTCGACCTGTCCTGGAATACTGATCCCATATTTGGAGTGCAGCACCCAAACATACCATGAAACTGTTGAGTTCTGTCCAGAAAAGGGCAATTCGTCTCGTGGGTGATGCCTCGCTCAAAAACTCACTCACAACTTATATTCAAATTTCATTTTTTTTTTCAATAGTGCCCGAACGAAATACTTTGTAATTTCCACAGTCATGCTTACTTTGTAACTGTAATTTCCTAGTCACTAGAATATATTTTTTCTGAAGGTGGGTAGCCATCAACAACCAATCAATGCAACACACATCGCACAACAACAGCTAGTCAATAATGCTCATCAGCATCAACACCAGCAGCAACAACTGCAGCACCAGCAACTGATGATGCATCATCAGCAACAGGTGAAGAGGAAACCAAAGCACAAGGTGAAAAAGAAACTAGACCTGGCCAATATCATGAAACTATCGGGCATCGGCGATGAGGATGACATTCAATTTGAGAGCGACACGTCTCAAAGCGAGAGTGAACCCACCTCGGTTCCAACGACTCCTCAACCTCAACAAATAGTCCATAATAATACGATGCAAGCTCATAGTAATTTTGTACATACAGATGCCAAGAAGAATATGCAGAATATTCAAATTTCGGCGATGACGCAACCTACCATAAATGCAGCTACTCCTGTTGTTCAAGTAAGTAACATTGAATAGTGAGTATATCGGCTGATACTATTCAATTCTGTTGTTTCTTGTTGGACTTTTGGAATTTGGATCCAAGATCGTATTTTCCATGAACCAAACAATTGAATATCTTGTAGATATTTTCACGGCATTCGATAAAACAAAACAAAAATCCCTTCGCCGCAGGATAGGAGACATATTTTCTAAAATCAATATGGCGACACTGTGGCGTCATCGATTGAATTCTCTCCTAGTAAACTAATGATAACAACTATGAAATAGTCACAATTCTCAAAGTGGAATGAAAGGTTCTATACAGTATGATGCAAATGTATGGAATAAATTCATTACAAAACAAGACGACTTTCAAAAAAAAAAAACAGTTCAGAACTTTTTTCGACGTATTTTTTTAACTAGACGACCCTTCGATGTTCAATTCTCAGTAGCAGACCTCTGCAAGATTCAATTAATCACATGATAATCCATTTTAATTTCAATCTTCTTATGCAACATTTTGACTGTTGAATAGACGATCGGTAGACCTTTCAATCAAGGTGTCACATGACCCCTATTTGTATTTGAAAAAATCGTCCATTACGTCTTCACTTCAACACCGATGACGTAACATCTCTCATATGAATATCATGAGATGAGGCTTCAGAAATTAAAACTCACGTGTTTTTGGAATTTTTTCGAATGTCGCCCATTTCTGAAATAATGAATTTATTCCATACATTTGCATCATACTGTATATAAAAACGAAAAGTTCAGTCATTTCCACAACGGTTGATAAAATAAAACTGACACTGGCTGACATGGCCGTTAAAGTGTTTCAAATAGGAGATTGTACTTTTGATGAATTAACGAAAAAATCACTCAAAGGAATCCTGATTGGCGATGGATCAAATGTTTCCCATGTCTCATTGTAAACTAATCAAAGTGTTTCATTTATTTGCTACCTATTTCATAGAGTTGCTTGACGAAAATTTGATCGATGGTGTCACAGTGTCGCCATGTTGATTCCAGAAAAAAATCCTCCGCCGCCATTTTTAGAAGAAATGGCCACTTGTGATATGTCATTGAAGAGGGATTTTTCTTGTCCATTGAATAGCGCGAAAATATCAACAGGGTTCCATTGAAAATCATCGACCTAGTTATATTTCCGGTAAACCTTCTATATCTTCGATCCAACTGTCAAAAGTCCAACATCAAGAACAAATGAATGAGGCTCTGGCGAATAATTTCGTTGTTACCCGGTATATAAGTTAGGCAAGTCAATGATAGGTTAATTTACTGTACCAGTATTTCAGTAAAAGCTACTGTGTTAGCAAAACGTGTCGTATTTTTAAGGTTCAAGGTAAATATTTTTTGTGACTCTTATTGTTTGTGAAGTTTTCATTTTCCCTCAAAAAATCACCTTCATTGTATATCAGGTAACAAGATATATAGTATTATAGTAATATAGTGAATCACCCTGTATGTTGGTCTTCCAGGTTCTCAACCAGAACTTCCAAAGCGGCATGATCTCTAACAGCACCTCCCAGGCAGCCGCAGCCCAAGCCAGCATACCTTTCAGCTCATTCATAACCCCGAATTTCACCATAAATAACGGTCTCATGCTACAAAGGACCGGCGGTTTCAAGCTCACCATGGGCGACGACGGTCGCCTGGTGTTGCAACACGATCCGACCTTGAATCAAGACTTGCAGTCTCAGCTGATCCTGCAAAGCCTCCTCGGAGGCTTGGTCTTGCAGCCCTCCATGGACCAACAGACGGTGCAGCAGACGGTCCAGACCATTCAACAGCAATCGGTGCAAACGATCCAACAGCAAACGGTGCAAAGCCAAACCATACAAACCGTTCAACAGCAGACCGTACAGCCGCAGACGGTCCAGCACACCATACAGTCGCTGCAGCCGCAGATACAGCAGCAAACCGTGCAGCATCAAACCATCCAGCATCAGACGGTTAACGCGCTGCAGCAGCCGATGCAAATCGTGCAGCCGCAACCGATCCACAGCATACACTCGCAAGTGCAGCCGATGCATACGATGTCGCAGTCGCAAGTGCACAGTTTGCAGTCGCAAATCCAAGGACAGATACAGAGCTTGCTGCAGCAGCAGAACCACGCGGTGCAGACGCAAACTATGCAGCATTCGCAAGTACAGCCGCAGAACGTGCATTCGCAGGCGATGCAGAGCGTCCAGAATTTACAGAGCGTGCAAAATTTACAAGGCGTGCAGAATGTGCAGAACATACAAGGCGTGCAGAACTTGCAGAGCGTGCAGAACTTACAAAACGTACAAAGCATCCAGCAGAACGTCCAAGGGATACAGCAGAACGTTCAAGGGATGCAACAGAACGTGCAGAGCTTGCAACAGAACGTCCAAAGCGTACAACAAAACTTGCAGAGTGTACAGCAGAACGTCCAGAGTTTGCAGAAGAATGTTCAAAGCGTGCAGCAAACTGTTCCCGGTTTGCAACAGGCCATGCAGAGTGCACATCAAGGTGGCCATTCGCAACAATCGTCAGTACAATCAGTTCAGAACTTCAACACGCATCAGTCGCATTCTCAAAGCCAGCCGGTGCTGAAAGTGCAACCTTTTCAAAAATCCCAGCCGCCCGTACAGACGGTCCAGCCCATTCAGCATCATAACATGAATCATCAGCATCAACAGCACCAATCACAGCAACAGCAGCAACCAAACATCACAGAAAATCAACAGAATCAAAATAATACACCGCCTACTTCGTATGTTGTTAATTTGACAACGGATCAATTGGAGCAGTTGAAGAGGAATGGGCAGCTGACTGTGAACGGCCAAACGATCTTCATGCAGCGTCAAAATAACGAACAAATCGAGAAGAAGATGTCGCCCAAATCGAAACCAGTGAAAAAAGTCAATAAAATACAAAGTATCAAGAGCATCCTTCAAGATAACGTCGATGATTCAGTGAAAACCAGCAATAACACCGAGAAAATCAAGGAAAACGTTGGCAAATCCGTAGCTAGTGCCTTAAATGCATCTTCGAAGCACACCCTACCTCAAAATCACGTGCAACCCCAGCCGATTCCGCAGAACAAGGTGGCGCAGCAACAGGCGATGGTGCAGCCGCAGGCCTTGGTCCAACCATCCGTACAAATACAGCCTAAACCGTCACCGAAGCCGATGCTCCCGCAGCAGCTGAAGCAGCAAAAAGTCGCCCCCACGGTCATCGCTCAGGATTCCAACGGCAGTCAGAGCAACCCCGACGTGGACAAGCTTCTCGGACAGATATTCGAAGAATCTACCAGCGCCAACAATAGGTAAGTAGACTTTTTTATGAATTTTCAATTTACCGCAAATAGCGACTGATGTCACGATTTCGTAAGTAGGGGCAGACTTGATTTAGGTCGTTACCACCGATAAAACAAGGCCAGCAGACTCTGACGTAAACAGCTCGTGACGTCGCATACTCAGGCCATCTTCCAAGACATTCGCGTCGATCGATCGTCAGTTTGTTTTTGTTTAAGAACGGTGGCGTAGGTAAATCGCGTTTGCTCGAATTCTCTTGTTGTTTATTCATCAAAATAATTGGCGGAGAAATTACTGTTTTGTGAAATATTTCGTGTTGTGATAGGCGAAATAACAATGCCTTACAAGTGTTGTGTTCCCTTTTGTCGGGGGAATTATGTGGGTGGTCCAAAAGTTCATGCTTTTAATTTCCCGTTGGACAAGGAACTATCGAAAAAGTGGATACATGCAATTCACCGCAAGGATTTTACGACTCCATCTAAGTACAGTAAAGTATGTGAATTACATTTTACTAAAGATGATATTATTACTTCATCTACTGCAACCGATTCAAAAACTGGCAAAACTGTAACAATAGATTTGAAAATTCCTAGGCTCAAACGAGATGTTATTCCCACTCAATTTCCCAACTGTCCATCTTATTTATCGAAAGATGTAAAATTACGCACAAGTCGTGATGAAAAACTTGAGATACTAGAGACTAAAAATTTGGCACAAGCACTTACCAAAAGTAAAACTGAATTCGAAAATTACCAAAAATCATTTTGCTACACAGAATTTCAAGAATTTCTAGTTGTATTAGAGTCTTTTCAGTTGTCCGAAAAGTGGTTCAAAATTATCGATTTGCAAAAAGTCACATTATTCAAATTGTCTTATTCTCCAGGGCCCGTAATTACATATTCGGTTGTGATTGATTTTGTTTTGAATGTGGAATCATTTTTGTATGACCTAGCGATACAAACATCTCTAAAAGCCAATCTGAAAACACCTTTTATCTCTAATAATATCAATCAAATCAAGGAATTACTAATTGAAATAAATAAAAACGAGATACATAATTCGGGAAAATGTCTTGATAATCAGAAAAAGAGGGTTTGGAAACAAATTTCGAATGCATTGGACTCTTTGGTTTCTGATTCAATACATTCTCAAATTTCTTTCTGAAAACGGTCATTTGCCTCGTGGCAAATTGCAACTATTATATTAACATGTACTACAAACACTCTACTTAAAAATTACTGTTTCAAGTCTAACGACCAATTGGGTAAAAAATCCAACAACAGGAAATTGAAAACACTCACTGGCTAATTTTTTAGGTAATAGGAATTCTCCAAGATGAATATAGGTAATTAGGTATAACAAACGGCATGTCTATCAAACTAAAATACATTTTCCCCAATTTTCTTTCGATCAATCTCATGATAAGTTTATGTTCTGCGGGCCCTGTATAAGTAGGTGTGAAGTTTACCTCTAATGAGATTGAATCACTACAATTTTTGCCAATATATTTAATTCGAATGGGTTGCTGTAGGTGGGTATTTGTGTTTTATTCTGGTTTTTGCTTTGAAACTTCGTTTTTCCATAATAAAATCGAATGGGATGCGAAGAAGGGCTCAGTTGACGGCTGGCATCCTCTTTCAACCAGAAGCCCTTAAAAAAAAAGCAAAATCGGCTCAATAATGATCTAAAACTAAAATCGAAATAAGTTGTCGTTTCGAGCCGCTGGTTAGGCCTGACTAAGTGACGTCACCCACGGAGCATGCAGGCCTTGTTTTATCGGTGGTAACGTTTAGGTCCCTAACGACACAGTGGAGTAATTAAATGCCAATTTATCACTTTGATTCCAGTAGCCGATTCACACTGGCACGTTTGAAATGTGCTCTGATATTCAACAATTCAGAACAACGCATAGACAGACACATTAAACGCGTGAGGAGTGTTGCAAATTAGGTCCCTAACGACACAGTGGAGTAATTGAATGCCAATTATTTACTAACAGTCCAGTAGCCGATTCACCCTGGTATGTTTGAAATGTGCTCTGCTGATATTCAACAATTTCAAACAACGCATCGACAGACACATTATTTCCTTCAAAAAACGCGTAAGAAATATTGAAAAGATAGATTTAGGTCCTTAACGACACAGTGGAGTAATTGAATTGTTACGATATTTCATTTTTATTTGAGAAAATAATTAGATTTGAGGGAAACTAGTATTATTAACGATTGCTTTTGTTTCGGTAAGACACACATCACTCTGTATACGTTCTTTTCTAATATTGGAGTCACGAAAAACAAAACTTTTTGCCAAGAGATAAAAATGTTGATTTGCTCGAACGCGGTAGCGATCTGCCGGTTGAGGAGAACGAGTTGTGAAGATTTATAGGCAACACTTCGGGTTCTTCGATTTTCAAAAATCTTACGTATATATACGGATAGTTTCCCGAATTTGCTTTTGATATATCGCCAAACCGTTGGGAATTTTCTGAGGATAAGTGCGATATCTCGGTACAATTAAAGTTTGGATCATTATCTTCGATTTTGGTGTACAAGAAAACATCTCCTTCAGTGTTAGGGTTAGGGTTAGATTTTTAATATACATACACTATATTTGAACGTCTCTGGAACTATTTTTATTGCCTTTGGGATAGTTTAGTGATTTCAACTCAGAGGATATCACTTTCAACCGGGCATTTTGAAATCACTTGGCGCCTATATTTATTTCTAGATTGTTCCCTTTTTTCTTATTAATGAATGCTATCTAATCCACGACCCTAGGTGTAGTAAGGAGTAAGCACACTACTTGCCAAACTTAAAACAAACAATTGTAGGTAGTTCACTCCGGAAACTAAAATACCTACGGGGCGATTGTTATAGAATACCAATTATTCAGTGACAGTCCAGTAGCCGATTCACCCTGGCATGTTTGAAATGTGCTCTGATATTCTACAATTTCAAACAAGGCACAGACAGACACATAATTTCCTTAAAAAAACGCATAAGAAGTGTTGCAAAAATTGAGTTAGCTTCCTAACGACACAGAGGTGTTACTAAATGCCAATTATTAACCAACAGTCCAGTAGCCCATTCGCCCAGGGCGAACGCTACCCCGAGTCCCTCGCAGCCCCAGCAAAGGATCACCACGATACAGCTGACGCCCCAAAAGCAGCAGCACCTGAAGAACATCCAGCTGCAAATCCAAAGTTTGTCGGCACGATTGACGCCAGGGGATACGGAGATACAGAGCACGTTGAAGCTGCTGTTCGCCGAGCAGCAGAAGATCCTGGCATCGGGGAAGCTGCTTCCTCCGGACAAGGTTTGTTATTTATTGAACAGGTTGCCATTAACAATCAATTTCCACTTGAACTTATGATGGAGATATCTTTGAAATTTTACACTCAACACAGTTGCAAAATGTCCAAAACACGCCATGATGATATTGTTCAATGATACCAATCGAGTATGATGCGGCCGAGGATGAGCCTGATATTATTTACACAATAACTCGGGAACTGAGAAAGATATTGAAACGAATGAAAAACACAAAGTGAGGTGAAGAAATGATAATGATTTTTCGTTTGGTACTACAACGTCCCAATAAAAAAGTCCCCTCTATTGATGAGGACTGTTCTTATTGCCGATAGAAAAGTGCTCACCGAATTTCAAATCTCTAGGTTTTGTTTCAACTGAGATGGTAAATTGAAACCAAAAATGTTGGCGAACTTTAACACCCAGTATAATGGAAACAAGTTTCTCCACGAGAAAACAAAAGAATATGGTATCTAATATTTTAATGTTTGCTATGGATTGTCAAAGTTAGACGAGTTAAAACTGATAAATATAACCTCTATCATCTAAACTGGGCGTCAATTGAAACGTTAATAGTGAAATTTGGCATCAAGTTTGACTTCTCGTAATTTCTAAAATATTGAACGAATTTTGAATTGCCGCCCAGATTCTGAATGCCTTTTTCATCGTCTTTCGAACCGTTCCTTACAGCTTCTTCTAAATTGATAAGGATCCATGATACAGGGTGAATCAAAGTTTCGTGCATTTTGAAAAAAATTTCTCCGCCCCCCCATTTTGTCCAGAAGACCATAATGCTAATATTTTATTCGGGCATTTCATAAATAGCAACCATACCTCGGGACGTTTTCGAGTTTCTGCCAAAAACTACTGTGGTTTCCGAAAAAAATTTTTTTTTTGCATTTTTTTTAAATGGACTAATTTTAGAGAAGTTCCATAAATGGATGCTTTTATGCATTTCAGGAAATCGTTGGAGCACAGGTTACTCAAAAACAATCAATAATTTATTACTTCGCAGTCTATGATGAAAGATTTCTACCTTAGTGAGCAGTAAATCAACACATCTCATCAACAAATACAAACAAGGATGCCTTGTTTTTATAACAGCGTATTGTTGAAACAATGTAGGTATGCATAGAGGTTATATCAATAGCCAATTTTCATGAAAACGTCAGTGTAATTCGGGTCCTAAATAATTTAAAGATGCCTCGTTCAAATCGGGTCGAAATTGAAAATATCATTAGGTAAGATCACTACAGTGATATAACCTATAATTCAGTACAGATAATCATTATTTCAGGTTACGACGATTAGGATATACCCAAACTCAGAGAGTTTGCTGCATCTGGATCAGTCCTTGAAACCCAAACTCATTTAAGTACCATTTTCAATAAGTCAGTCATGACAATAAAGAGACTGATTCATCGTTTGGTGATACAGGTAATTAGTCCATTAAAAAAAATGCTAAAAAATTTTTTTTTTTCGGAAACCACAGTAGTTTTTGGCAAAAACTCGAAAACGTCCCGAGGTATGGTTGCTATTTATGAAATGCCTGAATAAAATATGAGCATCGTGGTCTTCCGACAAAATGGGGGAGCGGAGAAATTTTTTTCAAAATGCACGTAACTTTGTTTCACCCTGTATCACGGGTCCTGATCAATTTAGAAGAAGCTGTAAGGAACGGTTCGAAAGACGATGAAAAAGGCATTCAGAATCTGGGCGGCAATTCAAAATTCGTTCAATATTTTAGAAATTACAAGAAGTCAAACTTGATGCCAAATTTCACTATTAACGTTTCAATTGACGCCCAGTTTATATGTCAACTATCTCATGCAAGGTCATTGAGTTTCTTGTTTTATTTGTCACGCGACCTGTTGGTCGATCGACTTTGAGTTAACTCGTTATTTTTTTTTGAAGGTTTACTATCACAATAACCAGCTCACCATCGTGAATCCGTCCAGTTTGAACTTGTCGCCGCCGGCGGCGGTGAAGATCGAACCGCCGCCTAGTCCGCAAAGTTCGGCGGCGGTTCCGAGCAATAATCAGCCGGCGGCGAGGACTACTGCCAGTGTTGAGACGCAGTGTTCCAATGCTCAGCAGGTGAGAGATCTCGAAAACTAGCCGATTCACTTCCTGCTTGTATGATTCATAATTTGAAGATGGTATTCTACTTCTATTCTTGAACCTGAAAACAAAAAAGCTTTTATTTATTCACGGAAATATCCATTACCACACTGTACAAGTAACATCTTTAAACAATAAATAATAATTGCAGTCTTCAAAATATTTCTACAAATGCTAACTCACTAGAAGGACATTAACACTCCTACTTTAAAACAGTGGTCCAACGAATATAAGAAAAAAAAACATATTATACAACACACAATTATAAAAACAAACGTCTAGTATCAGTTAGCCATGTATTTTTTTAGTTCAAATCTGTGAAGGATTGTGGAACCCATAGTTTCTGTAATGATGCTTAATATGAAAGGTGTCCTTTGACCTGGCGCTAGAATTATTAATTTTAAACTCAATATGATATAGGAGATCAGGAGAGCAGACTTCACCAGCTATCAGCTTGAACATAAGTCGGCTTCAATTCTCCTGTTTTCTAGGGTAGTTATTTTTAATAATGAGCATAGGGGTAGTCATAGTTGTCAACCTGAATTCCTAGGTTATATGCTGAAACTCTTAAGAATTTGTGTTGGACAGTTTCCAGCATGTTGATGTAAGTCTGATAATAGGGGTTCCACACCACTGACGCATAGTTTGAACGGACAAAAGCGCAGTAGAGAACCTTAAAGGAATTGATTGAGAGATATCTGGATACCCTCTTGATGTAATCGTGCTTTCAGGGATCCATTCCGTTTGCATTACACCAACGAACAAGGTTATTAAAATCACACTGTAGTTCTTGGCAATTGATTTCCTTATCAATAACTTTGAAAGTTTTCAGATCATCCGCAAATAGTAGAATTTGAGAGTACTCTATAAAAACAATGTCATTTACAAATAAGTGACTTCTTTGAGTCACCCCAGAGTTAACTTCTATAATATCTGAAAAATGTTGCCTCGATCAACAAAACACGGCGAGGGGAAGTGTTGATTCGATTCGTAATCTCATCAAAAACTCCATTTCGTAGTCATGGGAATCTATATTCTCCAACTGTCTTCAAGTATAATTCACCTTTGCTGTGATCTAGAATTAAGCACAGTTTATTGCTGGGCGATTTTAGCTTTGGCAATGCTAGCGATGAAACCTGGTGGCGTTATTGGTCAATTTGACTTGGTAATCTACTATTGACCAATAATATCATTAAACCTTTCATCGCTAGCATCGTCGAAGTCAAAATCGCCCAGAAATAAACCAAGCTTTATACATACATTTCAATGACCCCAAAATGAAATTTTGGATACGATTACGTCACAAATTCCTCTGAAAATTATCATCAACTCTACCAACCATGGGTTTTCATAATAAACTGGAGTTACGTGGTTTTCTAATTAGGGTTCTATTCCATTAGTGTTTCTTCTCATATTGAGATGATTATCAGATTGTGCTATTGAGTTAGTATTTTGGATTATTTAGAGGAACAAGACGATCCACCTCCATAAAAAAATAATGAAGCCAAATTGGACCGTAGTCCTTGGCTGGTTCGTAAGCAGCGCTAGCAAAACAAAATATGGTCGATTTCTCTACAGCCTGTCTCACTTTAAACGCCCCCCCTCTATATGTCAGCTGTTAGTCGTGCGATTCTTACCAAATAACCATCAAAATGATCAGTATTTCAGAGACGAACATAATTTTGGACAGTGCCGTGCAATTTTATTAAAATGAAAAGGGGCAAACTTTTTATGAAATCATCTTACGATTTTTTTACTGGAAAACTGACTCATATTATTGTTCTCCATGGTTCCAAACACCTATATGCAATTTTTCATATGATTTCTATGAAGGGTTTCAGAAAATAATAGGCACATTTAAACAGCATTTTTCCAAAGGAAATAATTATTCACTCGAACCAGGTGCGTTCAACAAAAAAAATCTTGCTTTCTCCTTCAAACCATATTTTCCAGCATCCAGAGCTATTGAACTTTCCAAAATTTGCAATTTTTTTGAGGAAGAAGATGAAAAAAATTAGGGCTATACTGTTCATTCGGAATGGGGTGATTTTTTGCATATGGGCATTCGAGAAAGCATGAGAAACAATTATGAAGTTAGATTTCCCGCAAAAAAATCGACCCCTTTTTATTTCATCAATAACGCACGACTATCACGAAGATATATGAAGGGGAAGCCATTCAAAATGAATGAGAGTCCACCTATCTGCAAGTTGCTGAACTATCTAGTTATAGCCACCTACTGAGCTGAATTACTGGCTTCATTGCTCTCATAAGGATGATTCATCTTGTTTGGATGAATAATCAATGGTAGTAGTGTTAAGGACTTACCATCCCAATCGTTATTATCTGATCGGTTTCGAAAAACTTTTGTTTGTTGAATAGATATTTGAAAAGTCCATCCAACAAGAGAGTAATTTTATCCTTGGACTATTATCGTGGCCAACTGCGACCATTTTCATTGACCCATATTTCAGATAGTACTATTAGGGATTCCTTTTTAAATTGCCAGTGAATTGATGATCTTAACTTTCATATTGTGCTCTTGACTCACAAGATTTCCTGAGGACATCTTCTGCCAAGTCAGACTATGAGTGTTTGATATTTTGGAATTTCCTTTCGTGCACTCCAAGAGATAAAACAAAATTTTGTCTATGATAAAACTTACGAATTTGTGCTAATCAATGGTTACCTAACCAGTTTAGATTCAATGTTGATAAAATGTTTCTGATATGAAAAAAATATATAGAATTTCAGTTTGCTTGGAATATTTGCAAATCATTGATCAAAGGTCAGCTGGCGAGGTTAGAGGCACCGGAAGTATCAATGCCTTCTGCGATGTTGCCAGCCCTTCAATAATAGTTTCCAAAATGGTTTTCTTGCTATATGTATATGTGTCATGTGTCATACAACACCTCATTTGATTTATTACTCTAGCTAGATAAACACCCTGTATAAACAAATAATATTGCAATGAAGATGCAATTTATTGATTTTATTTTTATGAATTCAGGTATTCATCATGACAATGAATATTACATTCACTCAAGTCTTACTATTTTGAGATTTTATTTCATCAATTAAACTAAATTGTTTTTACCATGAAATAAACAAATACATCTGAGGAATCGGTGTGTTGGGAAATAAATCTTGTGCAAAAAGTCCAATATCATCATGCACTGTTATCAGCAGATAAGATTTCAGCTGAGGTGATAACATTCAATTTATTTATTTTATCCTCGATTTTAGCTATGTTAATTTTGCGGATTGGTGACAATAATTAGTTGTACAGTAAAGTTTGTAATGAGTTACTTCGACTGGAACTATTATTATGAACAAGTTTGCCAACAATGGGTATGAGTGAGTACATCATTTACACGTGTGTGAAACTTGGGAAAATAATCAATTGAGGTTCTGATACAAAAAATATCTCCGATCATTGGAGCTTTGCGAAGATGTCCTAAACTTGACAAAAAAGTCATGAACATAGTACTTCATTCTCATATACTCAGCCGTATTACCTATATGATAAACGTTTGGGGATCTTGTTCAAAAAATTATTTCAATAAAATATCTGCACTTTATAAGAAAGCACTGAAAGTATTGTATCGCCTCTCATTTGATATCCCAACAAATGATCTGTATGCGATAACAGAAAAATTTTCATTGAATGAATTATATAAAATAGATTCTCTTAAAGTTTCATATAATATAATAAACAATAATCTGAAATCCAATTTTATTTTGGTAAGAAACTCAGAAATTCATGGTCATCACACGAGACAATCAAACTTATTTCATCTTGATTCTGCTACTTCTATAATTGGCCAAAAAAAATTTACTCACGCTGCTCTAGCTGAATTTAATAAATTACCACATAATATAAAAAATTGCATACTTATTTCAAAATTTAAAATTGAATTAAAAAAACACATGATTTCATTACGAAATGGATACAATTGATACTTTGCCATCTACTGATTAGTCCCTGTGGCTATTTTTTATGACTTGATCGATTTAGCATTTTTAGATTTTTTAGATTTTTATTGTTGTTGTTGTCACCTTATATTATTTCATTATTGTTGTTTGTAATCAACTTCCACATACCAGAATTTTATTTCTGACTGGAAGCTAGTTTTTCAATAAACAATAAAACATTGAACTATTCAATTTTGATGACATCCAATAGGAAAACCGAATAGTCTTTCTCCACTGCTAATAAGTTATTAGAAACAATTTTAATCTGTCTGCCTGTTAAAAACACCACGACTGATCCATTGAATTGGTAGAAGTACAGAGTCAGTTTTATTAATGTCACCCCATTCCATGTTTCAATTTCAAATCGTTGAGAATGAGTGAAAAACTTTTTAATGCAGTTATCATTTTCATTGACAGTTCAGTTGTAGAAATTAATTAATACAGGTTACCAAATTTTTTGTTTGAATTTGTATATAATCCTTATCAGGATGACCAAAAAATACAAATTCATCATAATATCGGAATTAGTACCTATGTCTCGAATGCTAGTGTAAAACTGTGAAAGAATGTAGAATCTGCTTAAAAAAAATTAAAAATAAAACGGGTTTCACATCAGTAAAACATTCAAATATATAGATCTCAAAAATTTATTTCAATAACCTTCCATTTGGACAACCAAAATTTTGTAAAATGCCTATTGTTATATGGAATTGAAAATCATTATTAAGCTATGGGGAACAAACTCACTAATTGAGCTGGAACATTTATGAGATATACAGGGCGATTATCATCATGGAGAACAAATCTTGAACGATTGATGCATGTTTAGTTGTCTTTACCACAATCGTACGTTAATAGACAAATTTATCGTTAATAGGAGTCATTAACAATCAATATCGTGTACATTAATCAAACCTGTTGATACGAAGTGGACGGAAAAATATTATAATATGGGATAACGAACTATTTGCGCTATAATAAAAGTAAATGTTTATCGTGCAATTTTGTGCCAATAGAAACTATCACAAAATATTGTATAATTATGTATTTTCCTTCGCTACAAAAACAATTATGAATAAAAAATTCCTTGTTTCTGATTGAAGTGGCAACACTGTATCGATGAAAACATTTCAGACGAATAGAGAATGTTCAATTATCAAAGCATCCCAATTTTCAGGATGTTCTGTCTTTTCGTTCTCCAGATACTTCTAATAGGCCATCCACCGTGACCCACCCTGTATGTCACCATGTAGATGATTAGAATTAAGCGATGTAATTCAGTTCATAAAATCGTGTAATAAACTACTCAACACTAATTTCGTCGCACACCAAAATATCGCCCCTGTTATAATGTGAATAACTCTTTTCAGTTTAGAACAATTTGAATTTGGTTCACACTGTTCGATAGCCCAGTCCTTCAGCTATGATCTCGTGCTTCATTGAAACATGAGGGTATTCACATAAAATCTCTACATGGTGTTTTCCGACACTGTGCAAAATTTCGGAATATTCAAAAGGCTCTCAAATGGTGAAACAAATTTTTTTCTCAACTTCGACAACAGAGGCATGACGATGATCTCATTACCTCGAGATGTTTCGCGAATCAACTTCCTATCTCTCTTATTTACAGAGTGATCTCAAAAAATCAACTTTTTGGTTTTGCAGCCATAACTTTTTTCTACGTCAACCGATTTTAGAAATCTTAGGCTCATTTTGAAGATAAAACTTCAGATGAAGAGATCTGGATATCAGAATTGACTCAAGATGGCTATCAAAGATCTAGAGTTTTCTTGAAAGTGACCCAAATCTGGAACGTCCTCCGAATCTCGGTTGGGAGGAGAATTGAATGAAAATCAACTTGTTATCGGAAAAACAATTCATTCTGGATGCGTACATATTTTCCTCGCTCTCAGTAGTCAAGAATTGTGCGTGAGAAAACACAATTGAAACATGTTCTTGCAAAAACATCAGACCATTTCTCATCTGTACTGCATGGCCCGTAACCAACGTTCATCATAAATGATGTATGTACCTCGCAAGTTGTCACCCACATTCGCGTTAGATGCGGCATCGAAACTATCGAAATCTGTTTATGATTCGAAAACGACGTCTAACCTGACTTGTCAGTCACTTACTATGATTCTTGTAACGTTGGTTACGGGCCATGCATTACAGAGGAGAAATTATCTGATGTTTCTGCAAGAACATGTTTCAATTGTGTTTTCTCACGCACTTTCTTGACCACTGAGAGCGAGAAAAATATGGACGCATCCAGAATGAATTGTTTTTCCGAGAACAAGTTGATTTTCATTCAATTCTCCTCTCAACCGAGATTCGGAGGGCGTTCCAGATTTGGGTCACTTTCAAGAAAACTCTAGATCTCTTATAGCCATCTTGAGTCAATTCTGATATTCAGATCTCCTCATCTGAAGTTTTATCTTCAAAATGAGCCTAAGATTTCTAAAATCGGTTGACGTTAAAAAAAGTTATGACTGCAAAACCAAAAAGTTGATTTTTTTGAGATCACTCTGTAAATCAGAGAGATAGGAAGTTGATTCGTGAAACATCCCGAGGTAATGAGATCATCTTCATGCCTCTGTTGTCGAAGTCGAGAAAAATTTTTTTTTTACCATTTGAGAGCCTTTTGAATATTCCGAAATTTTGCACAGTGTCGGAAAACACCATGTAGAGATTTTATGTGAATACCCTTATGTTTCAATGAAGTACGAGATTATAGCTGAAGGACTGGGCTATCGAACGGTGTAAACCAAATTCAAATTGTTCTGAACTGAAAAAAGTTATTCACATTATAACAGGGGCGACATTTTGGTTTGCGACGAAATTAGCGTTGAGTAGTTTAGATATTCACGATACATGTACAAGTTTTTTTTCTTTACCGCACCAGTGTTGTAATGTTTCACATTTCGTATCGGCAATAAGTGAAAATCATTACAACTCATTTCAGCCAACAACAACTCGGACACACTCCTCACCGAGGATGTCCATCTCGGCGCCCAACAGCGAAACGACCGCCACCCAAACCATACATCACCACCCACAGCCCCCCCTCCCCCACGCCCCATCCTCCCACCTCCATCAGCACAACAACAACCACCACCATCAACATCATCACCACGCCCACCAAAACCACGCCCATCAGAGCCACGCCTCCGTGTCGCCGCGCCCCGCCCTTCAAAGCCCCGCCCCTAAGCACTCGCCGCCCCATCAGCCCGCCTTCAATCACCACCACCAGGCGGCGCAGGCGCATCACCACGGCGGTCTGCCGGCGAGTCACCTACCGAACCACGTCGGCCACACGAATCACGTGATCGGGGCTAGGGTAGGGTGTATGACGTCTGTTGCTCAGCCGAGTGCGCAGCAGCAGGATCTTCAGTTGAAGCAGCAGCAGCAGCTACAACAGCAGCAGCAGCAGCAGCTACAACAGCAGCAGCAGAAGCAGCAGCAACAACATTTTCACTCGCAGGCGAAAAAGGCGCATTTGTGAGTCATTTGTTCATTTCAGAACTTTAAACTGTAATAGTGGCATAACATTTAATTGAAACAAATTATAAATTTAGATTTTTTGACCACCTTGTATCAATTTCAATTGAACACCAATTGATAGTGAGTGAAAAGTTGAGATAGGGACATGTGAACCGTTTTGACGAATAATGAACAGTTTCGACAGAAAAAAATCCTGAACTTGGAAAATCTCGATTTTGCACACCCTATATGTCAGTAACTTTCACTGCTAGACCCTAAGTATGATGGGTCGTTGAAATCAGATCTTCAAGGAGAATTCAAAAATGAAATGAAATACAATGTGTCCCATTTACCATGCTCACCATGGGTATCTTTTTAACGGTGAGAGATACGAGGTCGGTTAAATGACACCAAATGTGGAGTTTGTCAAGGCCAACTATAATGTGAAAAAATCTATTCGTTTTTGTTTTATACGCAAAAAACCGATTTTGATCATTTTCATGCCTCCTCCGTAACTTCTTTATTTATGAAGATATTCAAATAGGAATTTCACATCCTCATGGCAGTTTTTCAAAGTGATTTCGGAAAAAATATGAAATTATAGCAACTCTTCTAGAATTTGGGATATCAGCACCAACTTTAGTTTTTCAAATGTTGGTCATAGCTCACTATGACTTAGTTACAAATAACTTTTTTTTCTCTTACAGATGGTATGTCGCAGTAATGGTTTTGTGTTGATAACAACAGAGTTATCGTCTTTTATACAAAAACAAAGAATTATCTGGAAGCCGCCATCTTGAATTTATGAATTTAAACAAAAAAATCAAGATCTCCGACCTCAAAAACTCCCACTTATCAATTTTGAATGGAATCGGACCAAATCTTGTCCGCCATCTTGGAGCAGCCATTTTTTTAAATTTCAACGAAAATTCCATAACTCCGATTAACTTGAAATTTGGCAGGTGTTCATAATTTCGGTGACAATACATTATGGAATTTTTGTTGAAATAAAAAAAAATGGCTGCTCCAAGATGGCCGACAAGATTTGGTCCGATTCCATTCAAAATTGGTAAGTGGGGGTTTTTGAGGTCGGAGATCATGATTTTTTTGTTAAAATTTATAAATTCAAGATGATGGCTTCTGAATAATTTATTGTTTTTGTATAAATGACGATAACTTCGTTGTTATCAACACAAAACTATTATTGCGACATATCATCTGTAAGAGAAAAATAAGTTATTTGTAACTAAGTCATAGTGAGCTATGACCTACATTTGAAAAACTAAAGTTGGTGCTGATATCTCAAATTCTAGAAGAGTCGGTATACATTTTATATTTTTTTCGAAATCACTTTGAGAAACTGCCATGAGAATGTGAAATCCCTATTTGAATATTTTCATAAATAAAGAAGTTATGGAGGAGAAAAATGATCAAAATCTGTTTTTTGCGTATAAAACAAAAACGAATAGATTTTATCAAAATATTTTTTCACATCAAAGTTGGCCTTGACAAACTCCACATTTGGTGTCATTTAACCGACCTCGTATCTCTCACCGTTAAAAAGATACCCATGGTGAGCATGGTAAGTGGGACACACTGTATAGGGTGTTCATATGAAACAAACATAAATTTGATATGCTGTTACCTCATGGAACACCCTGTATATTCCAAAATAATTTTGAAATATGCAGCTCGGTTATTACTTCAATTTTGATACATGACTTTTTTTGTATCTCTCAAGACAACAGAGAAATCGAACTCTGGAGTCTTAGTTGGCCACCCTGTACATTGATAAATTATCTGTTTCAGGATCGAAACACAACTGAATCTAGACCAAAACGGCGCTGTGAAACCTGACGTCCACACACCATTCAGAGACAAAAAAGAGGCCTGTATCAGACTGATCAGGTACCATTGCTTCGACCAACCGGTTCTGTCTCAGAAAGACTTGGACAAAGCCGACGAAATTTTCGAGCTAACAGCTCAACACTTCATCGGCAAATTCGCCAAGATGGAGGATAAGTACAAATACCTGATGATGAAGGAGAGTATGGTGAGTAGTTTTTACTAAATAAATTTATAAAATAGAGACGTTCAAAAAAAGAGTTCCGTCGTCATCGTATTGGGAATTAGAATGATACAATTGCAGAGAAAGAAATTGAGAATAAGATGATGAGAAAGGAAATTGAAAGTTTGAAATCAAAACTAGAAGATTTAGAGAAATTGCAATGTGCTATGTCATCAGTTCACGGTGTTTTTGATCCAGATCAAATTCAGAATTCACAGGTGAATGTAGACTGCAGGAAGAGGTGGGACCGACACAATCAATGAAGCACTCGCTATCAAATTCTCTTGTGGTACCACTGGATATGAACACCTGTTGAAATTAAAATTTCCATTTCCTACAATCGAGGAAAATAGAACACATTGCTTTCAATCCAGGAATATTGGTAGAATCTCTCCATTACTTGAAAATGAAAATAGAGAATTACTCGGACATTGAGAGAGACTGCTTCCTTTGCTTTGACGAAATGGCAAAGAACACTAAAATTATCTTTCTTATATCAAATGAAGTGAAGAAATATCTGATGACGAAAATTTGCAATAGCCATCTCAGGAATTGATTATGGAAATTATCGATTCGAAATTTGAACATCCTGTTGTTCATTATTTGAAAATCTAATAGTTATTCTAGTTTAAATAGCCCTATTTCTCACTTCTACCTACGTCTATGAACGGTTTGACGAATAATCTAACCCTCAAATTTGTTTCTGACAATCATTGATTCTAGGGGAATTGAAAAGACAGAGCTCGATATATTATACAGTGTGGTCCAACGAAAACTTAACACCTCGATTTTCCGGCGTTAACATGAAAATGTGGAAAATCGCTCGAACCCGTCAATTTCTGATTCGAGGGGGAACAACTTTTCCGCTGTTTTCATCCCCGTGACTTCAACCCCCTAACGGGGGTGAGCACAACCCCTTGATTTTGAATAGGGATGAGGGGTGTTGAGATACCTCATTTTGAAGATCTTATCGTGTACTATCTGACCGTAAAATTTCGCTCCAAAATATCCATCGATAACGAAATGATAGGTAAAATAGTGGAAGAGTACGTACTTTTGTGATTACTTTATTAAATGTTCGAAATGGGCACCATCCACTTCCATGCAGTAATATAAGTTTTGCTGAAAACGTTCACGTACATTACTCAAGATTTCTGGTGTAATTTGACGGCATTCATTAATGATCCGAGTTCGCAAATCATCCAGTGACTCAGGCTGGGTAGCGTAAATCTTGGATTTCAGGTGACCCCATAGAAAAAAGTCCAGTGGAGCCAGATCAGGTGATCTGGGTGGCCACTCAATATGTCCCCTTCTTCCAATCCAGGCGTGAGGAAAATTGTCATCTAAAAACTGACGCACCGGTTGAACAAAGTGAGGTGGTGCGCCATCTTGTTGGAAAATGATCGTTTGATGGTCTTCTGCATTCTCCAATACTTGCACGAGGGCTGAATAAATAGCGTTCTCCAATAGATCAAGATAAATTTGGCCTGTGAGATTACCGGGTAGAAAAAAAGGGCCGATTATGTGATTTCCATAAATACCCGCCCAAACATTTAATTTTTGGGGGCGCTGTGTATACACCTCACGAAATAATCGTGGATTTTCATCTGACCAATACCGACAGTTATGCCGGTTTAAAATGCCGTTAAGGTAAAATGAACACTCGTCCGAAAAACAGATATCGAACATGTAGTTTTGATTGCCGTTAATTATTTCACTGATCACTTCACAGAACTGGAGTCGGCGATCGGGATCATCCTCATTCAGTTCCTGAACCAATCGTATCTTATACGGATGGAATTTATGTTGTTTCAGGATTCTCATGATTGTTGTGCGTGAAACACCAGATACATCGGACAATTTCCTAGTACTAACGGTCGGATCCATTGCTATATGACCTAAGACAGCCACGTCCCTCGCTTCGTCTCTTTCATGCACCCTCTTTTTGTTTCCAACTGAACCAGTAGCGTCAAATTTGGCAACCAGTTGCACAACGTAAGCAGCGGATACATTTTTTCCAGGATGTCGTTCGTTAAATAAAGCCGCTGTTGTGCGCGCAGAGTCGTTATTTCGGAAAAATAATTTTATCATTTCCACCCTTTCTTCTACGGAATACACCATTTTAATTCCACTACAAATTTACAATCGCTTGGACACACTTGTACCGTTCTTAACAATTCACGGTAGACTAAGGTAGGTACAAAAACAAGGTCCGTCTACTTTTTTGGACAAAAAATAAACCACTCAATACCTTTGAAATGCGTCGGATACGAATAATATTCTCGAGATAATTTCCATATTGCCTCTTTCACTATTTTCGCTGTTATTTCATTATCGATGGATATTTTGAAGTGAAATTTTACGGTCAGATAGTACACGATAAGATCTTCAAAATGAGGTATCTCAACACCCCTCATCCCTATTCAAAATCAAGGGGTTGTGCTCACCCCCGTTAGGGGGTTGAAGTTACGGGGATGAAAACAGCGGAAAAGTTGTTCCCCCTCGTATTAGAAATTGACGGGTCCGAGCGATTTTCCACATTTTCATTTTAAAGCCGGAAAATAGAGGTGTTAAGTTTTCGTTGGACCACACTGTATGTCTTATTCCTTTATTCAATCATCAATGCATTTTTTGAAAACAGAAAAGGACAGAAGTATAGCTGTGTCCGGACTCTTATCTAATAAGGTATATACAGGGACTCTAACTAATACCATCCAGTGACTCGAGTAGATATATGATAAAAGTTCAACTAGTAAAAATCCATTTCAACCGGATTTCTTGCTCCCCAGCGAGAAGTGCCCACCTCCGAGCTGATGATGCTCGACAGGATGCACGTGAAGGAGGAGCAGGCGGCGCAGATGCGGCTGCGCGACGACCTCGAGCAGCTGCTCCGTCTGCCGCCGCCGCCCCCCGCGGAGCCCCAGCTGCCGCCCCTCCCACCAGCGCCTGCAACAGAGGGGGCGGGCCAAGGGGGCGGGCCTAACGAGGGCGCGGCCGAGGATTACGACGAGTGGGCGTGCATACAGGTAAACGGAACGAATTGACGGAGAGCCAGAGCTAGAAAGATTCTCTGAATTTACTGAGCCTAGTTTTTTCACAGTTTATTACAGTGGTTTTGTACAGGGTGATCAGTTAAGGGTAGCGAGCGGCCATATCTCATAAGATATTGGTCGTATAGATTTGAGAAAAAAAAATCATGATAGAAGTCGAGTTTGTCAAACGTCCGCTAGAGGGCGTAACAACCAACACCAAGTAGAAAAATGGGATTCTTATAGAATTTTGTCTTATGAAAGTATATCGATGATATCATTTTCATAAAAAATAAATCGCCGTTGCAGGCGGCGGCTCGCCCTTTTCCTCATGATTATTCAACGAAATCGATTTATTAGGCCATTTATTGACTATAATTCGATAGATAATATTGAACATTCAGTATATTATACAGTGTTCACTTCTCATGGAAACACCCCGACTATTTTCCGTATACTTTGACGTAGAACCATGAAAATTTCAGGAACAATGGCAATATTCCGAATTCAACATACCCATTCCTTAAACTGTGTCAGTACTGACAGAAGATTCACTTGGGGTCCCTTGATGTAAATTGACGTATTTGTCATCTTAACAGGGTACGGACAGATCATAGCTGCATTATTTTTTAATGATCTAGAGACTTTAGTTTTGTCTACTGGCATCCCTGACATTGCTGTCACGTCACATCCATAGGCGCTACAGAAAATCATTAAAAATTTTGATAATAGGTATGTACAGGGTATTTACTTGTTGAGGAAGATCATATGGCGAACGAGTTTTGTAATTATGATCCGATTCTATTCAAAATTGGAAGGTACGTGGGGTTTTCCGGGGTTGGAGATGATGATTGTTTCGTGAAACTTGGAAAATTCAAGATGACGGATCCAATATGGTGGACGAGTTTTGTAATGGAGATCCGAGTCTATTCAAAATTATGTCTTGGGGTTTTCGGGGTAGGAGATAATGATAGTTTCGTCAAAATTGGAAATACGGATCCAATATGGCGAAAGACATTTGTAATTATGATCTGATTCTATTAAAGATTGGTATCTGGAGTCGAACTTTATGATTTTTTGTCAAAATTGGAATATTCAAGATGTAATTAATGAAATCAATCAAACACGCGTTCATAGATACGTAGTCGAATTCAGAAGAAGTAGAGAATGAATAGTAGTTTGAAAAACTGAAGAGATAGATTGCCGAGCTGAAAAAGAGTATAGTATATATTTTGAAAAACTAAAGAAATATGCTTTTATGGACAGACAAACTAAAAAGAAGTAGAAAATGAGATAAATAAAGTGTGCTGGTAAATATTCAACTAAAAGAATGTTTTCTAGAAACATTTTGCATAGCAAAACAACGTTTGCCAAGTCAGCTAGTAATCTAGTAATGATATTTATTATTCGTTCTCAATACAATTTGTATATTGTTGAAAAAAGAAAATATTGACAGTGTCAAATGATTTCTAAATGTTAATGATTATAAAATTCAAGAAAATGAAAAGATTTTACGATTGAATAAGTTATACACATAGTGTGATATTAGTCACTCCATAAATTCTTCTCCGAGTTGGATTTCCGAAAATATATTTAGCAACACATGACAAGATTACAGTAGTTTAGATACCCACATCGAGGTTTTCACCATTTCCCAATCATAAGGCTCAGCTCATTCAGCTCTTAGATAAACTGCTGCTCAGCTTGAAATAATCAGAATTCAATCAGTCAATTCAGTCAACCCTGATATACAGTCTAAGAACAGTATCTTTTGGTGAAGTTTATAAAGCTTTCAGTACAATTTATATGTTTTCTGCCTCGCAAAGATTATGCTGGAGTAGTAAACTCCAAAACTAGAAGATTGTTCATCTATATCTTGGTATAGTTGAATCAGGAATTCCATATTAAAATTCCGTATGATACGCCAATGACCTCAATATAACCTTAAAAACAACAAATGTAAGAAATCTAGTGTTTATCCCCAGAATTGAATATAACTGTTTCACAAACACTTTAGAGTGAGAGGAGACGAGGATCTGTCCGTACCCTGTTGAGATGACTTTAACGTCAATTTCCATCAAGGGACCCTAGATTCACTGAAGCCGCTGGAAATCTGTGTTCCGAAATATAAAATCAAAAATACAGTACTGTAATTCGGACCACGTTTTCATGGTTTTCATCAGTAGTCAGCAGCACTTGATCAACTGGTGAAATTTGTCAGTTTGTAGTTTCTCGTTCATCTGAACTAGATATTAAGCCTCCTTTGTTTGATATAAATTTTGGAAATTCAGTATTCAACCTGGAAGAGCAATCGATTCTTGTAGCCTTCATAGTTTCTACGATTATTGACTATGACGATTCAAGCTCGAGTGATGGAGAATACTTGGACATTTTGTTGCCATTAATTTTTCATGATGCACCAGATTGAGAATTGAAAGATTCATGGAAAACGTAATAATGATGAATTCAGGAGACATTCCAGGTTTATTTAGTCAATCTTTTTGGCGCTGGCTCTTAGACTAATACACTTGATGGCCATTTGAATGGCCGAAACATATCTCAAACCTTATTGAAGCATGATTGACTGCATCTTTTCAACATTAAACTTGTGGAGACGACTTCGAGTTTTCTTTCTTGATCATTCCACTCCACTATGATTATGGCCTACTACAGAAGAATCATCAACATCATTGTTACAGCGCGAACTCGGCTGTCTGCCCGCCCAGGGCGACCCGAAGCCCGCCCAACAGCAACTCCTCGCCCACACCATCAACCAGGCTAAACGCGCCGCCAACAGCGACTCGCGCCTGGAAACCTTGAAACGGTTCCGCGTCGACAAACACCACCACCATCACCACCACCACAAGAAACCCCCCGACGTCATCATAACCGGCACGCAAAACAGCCAATCGAAGCTGATCGGCCAGTCGTGCGGGTACGAGACGTCGCAGAACAGCAGCTATTCGTCGCACGAGGAGAACGAACCAGAGAACAACAGTATCGACGAGCAGGTGCAGTCCGCCATCGATTCCATACTGAACTTGCAGCAGAACACTAACGCGCCGTTGGATTTGGACGGTATTTTGTCATGACGTCATGTTTAGGTATGGTTCTGAGTTTGACGGGCTCGCGCCTACAGACCCTGAAACGGTGCGCAAAACAGCCAATAGAAATCGAAGCTGATCGGCCAGTCGTGCGGGTATAAGACGTTATAGAACAGCAGCTATAGGTCGCGTGCACGATGAACGACCCTGGCGGTGAAATATTGAAACACAACCTCATCTTTTTTATTTGATTACAGAGGAATCAGAGGATTGAAATAGTTTTTCACAATATTTTGGCATACGAATCGTGTTTTTTGCGCTATTTATTAATTCAAGCATGCCTTCTCATTGTGCTGTTGTACAATGCACAAAAAAATGCAGCGAGAGACGAAGGAATATGATTTTTCAGGTAAATAGTAATCTAACATAGTTTTCATTATGCAATTTTGTCATTTCTTATTAAAATGCCTTCTGCCACTTCCGCAATAGATGCTAATACTGCTAATAGATAGAAAATGTCTAAAACACAAACGATCATATTTCGTCAGCATGTCAGACCAGTCCTTCCGTTTGATTGTATGAATCCAATCTTCTTGCATTCTTTTAGAAAGGACCCCGCACCATTTACATTGGAAGTAAAATTCATTGAGCAAAAGCATATTACTTCATTCAGATACGTTGCAAGTTCGACCAGGGACTATTAGTGTCCTTTCCGTATAACGTAAACCACCAATCATTGGTCGCAATATTAAAACATTAGCGTTGACATGTTCCCGACAAGATTGGGCATTTTCAGGGATAATAGTTATTTGTTTAACTAGGCAGCAAAGTAGTAGATTGACTGCCGAGGCTGAATTCCAGGAATCCAGCTAAGGCAGTCAATCTACTTTGCTGCCGAGTTGAACATATAATTTTTTCTCCGATTGTTCATAATGATATAGGAGGATATTGTAATTGCAAATTATTACAATTCCCACAATCTCTTTATTTTTCCTGTAGTGTTCAATTAAAATGAAATTTGATAGAAATCGCAGTTGTCCATGATAATTATAGCTTGACAATTCATGAAAATTCTGACAGTTGTGCGAAAAAATATCGGTATATTTAAATTATTATATAATGGACAGTGATAGCGACCTGGAAGTACTTACACCTCCAGAAATAAGGGAGGTGGCAAAAAATATAGAGTTCAATTTGTTGCCGAAGAAGTCTCGAATGAAATATGAAGGAAATTATAAACGATTTATGGATTATTAATTTTGCTGATACATATCAATCAGCAAAGTAACCACTTTGCTGCCTAGGCAGGAAAAGTAATACTTTGCTGATTGATATGTGTCAGCAAAATTAATATTTGCTGCCAATCGGAGAAAAAAATATTATTTACAATATATACATTGACTCTAGCAACTAATGATACGTGAAGTAAATTATTATTTGCGCCACAAAATATGCACACTCTTGCATGGATGGGAAAGGCAACATTCAGATTCATAGAATGAACGTTATCCCGAATTCCAAGTTCCTCTATAATGGATCAATTACAGTTCATGAATAAACGCGTACGATCGGTTAGGGGTATATCCAGCGAACTTTCTTACTAGAACCTGTCGACGATGTATTGCGATTGCTTGCTGCTCAACATTTTGATCTCGATCGATGCCTGTCATACCATTAATATTGCCTTCGCTATCGCATATTAAGCAACTAAACCTGTTTCGATAAGCCATCTTATATGTATTTGAACAAAGGAATACGCTTTTGCTCAATGACTTTCACTGACATAACATAAATGACAATTATCTGACAACTCAAAAATATCATATTGACCTATCCAAGATGCTGTCAAACCATCTAAATCAATATGGCCGACTGTAGGCACACATACTTTCCTGTCGCAATATCTTTGTTATAGGGGTCCAAGGATAATAAATATCCACTTTTATTCAAAACAACCATTATTATTATTTGATATATCTACCAAAGATTATACTGCTGCTACGTAAATCAACAAAAAATACTTGTGTGCCTACAGGCGGCCATTAGAAATTTGTCAAAAGTCACGTGTTCTGGAATGCCTAATTAGCCAAAACTAGCCAAAACCATATTATACACAAGATGTGCTGTTCTGGTAGAGGTTATCTCGTTTGGCTTCAAGAGCTTATAACTTCTTTTAACGGGTATAACGGACCTTGGACCATAGGACATTTCTTGTTCAGCATGATTTGATCTTATCCAATCCTAAATTTTCACGAAATTTCACCGTAGACAAGATTTCAATGTGAATGGTGCGGGGTCCTTTCACGAGTATTTCTATTAGCTCTTATTGCAGAAGGAATTCCGATGAGAAATCAGAGAAATTACCGAATTTCAAAATGAAAACTTTATGTCAGTGACTATAGTAGGTACTTACTTCTAAATCATAATGTACCACCCGGATTCCTTCGTCTCCCGCTGCATTTTTTGTGCATTGTACAACAGCACAATGTGATGGCATGAGCGAATTAATGAATAGCCGAAAAATACGATTTGTATGCCAAAATAATTGTGAAAAACTATTCAATCACTTGTAAACAGATAAGAAAAGTGAGGTTGTGTTTCAATGTTTCACCTCCAGGGTCGGTCATCTGACAGTTCTTGCACGCAACCCATTGGTCGCACGATGAGAAAGAAGCGGAGAACGACAGTATCGACGAGCAGGTGCAGTCCGCTATTGATTCGATACTGAAGCAGTTGGATTTGTACGGTATTTTCTCATGACGTCATGTTTAGGTATGGTTCTGAGTTTGGTTTTTGCTCTGGTGTGTGGGACGCTGGCATGTTTGGTGGCGATGATATTCGTTTTGCGCACACATCCGTACGGTCGATTCGTACAGACCAATGGGCCTGTTTCAGTGAAACATTTTGTTTCATTATTTTGACACTTGCTCACTAACGCAAACCGTTTTCTCCTTAAAGTTCTGTAATTAATGTTTCAAATAATATTGAAATTCAACGAGTGACGATATATGCCGCAATCCGCCTATTACTATTATACAGGGTGGAGACTTTAACTGGAATGAATGTGAATGATTTTTCTGGAAATTCGCGAGACACTTCAACGTTTGAATGTATTTACCTACATTTGGCGAGCAAAATGGAAGATATAACCCTTCATGGGTAGCTGGAATCAACCCCAACATGTTTTTTTGAAATGCAACCCTATGGCTTGCGACCCCTCATTGGAAATCTGGTTGGAGGAGGAATTCAGCGTACTGATCATATTTCAGTTTGCAGTACGTTTGGTGGTGGCATAAATTCAAAATATAGTTTCGAAGTTTGATATATTTTCAACGTATTTTCATCAGAATTTCAACTTTTAGTAACAGTGATATAGGACATTTCCACCAGTTTGCAATAACACTTCGTGTCGAACTGTGAATACGGCAAAAAACTAAATTCCTTTTTGCAGCTTTATAAATACTGGAATACAATAACAGATAGCAGTTGCGGCAAAAAATTACCATCAATAATTATTGTTGAAGACCATATTGGAAGGAGAAGATGGTGTGCTCAACAGAAAGCTCAAACTCGTCTTGTTCTGCGCATGACGTCAGCTGGGATATAACTGTCATTGTTATTATTTGTTTTCGTGATTCCAACTAACATACAAAAGGCACAGATATTGAATTTTTCTGCTTTTCCAAGAATGGAGACCTAATGAAACGATGAGAGCTTGCTGCTAACAGAATATAAACTCAAATTATGGTACCTACCTTTCAATTCCTTATATCCTCATTCCAAAGTATTCACCTATCATATTATCATCACATTCATATTACAGCATGAATTTCTTCAAAACATTTCCATGCAAAATGTTCCCAAACAAGTGCGAAAGTACGGTTCTTGAATTACACACCTCCAAAAAATCACAAATAATTGAAACAAGATGCAATACCTACAGAACATCTTCCGAATATCAAGTCAGAAATAAATGAAAAAGAATTCAAAACTCTTAATTTGTCACAAAAAATAAATTGCAGCAAAGATTAGAATAAAAAAACGGGAAAAATTTATACTTCTGTTGTCGATGTCGGAGCAGAAGCAACGTCAACATCGTTAACTGCTGAATTTTAATCTGTCAGAATCGACACAGTAGTGGATCATTCAGATGGGATTGGCAATGCATGATAATTCGTATGTATTTGCTATTTGCGATTGCGATTTACCTCAACGTCACAACTTCCAGAATCAATGAAATAGTAAAATCGAAAGAATAGGTACCTGTTTATATAGATTGACTTATTTCTAAACAGATCGAGAAACTCGTAGAAATTTCAATAAACGTGATTGAATTCATTGCGCACGCCCATGGCAACGGTATCTGTCTGTGACTAGCAGCTGATATTGGTATCCCAGATGACGTCACATAATATGCGCTTAGGCACACCATCTTCTCCTTCCACTATGTTGAAGACACAGTTTGAGTGATTGATGCTTTGAAAAAAAAATTGCAACCTTCAAACGTATGAAATGCTAAAATCTGACTGGTACGCTAGATTCCTCTTTGCACCAGCTTTCAAATGAGGGGTCACGAGCCATAGGGTGTTTTCAGCTACCCGTGGAGGGATAAATTCTCGATATTGCTTACAAAAGGTAGGTAAATACATAAAATTGTTGATGTATGACGGGAATTTTCTGAAAACATATTCTCCTTTCTGCAAACAAATTTATTCCAGTTGAAGTCTCCACACTGTATACAGGGTGAGTCATTAGTGTGGCAAAGTGAGATAACTGCTTTACTATTCGAGATAGATGAATAAAAATTTCAGAGATGATCTAGGATCATGAGCAGCACATATCCAAATTATTTCGCTTTATACAGGGTAACTCATAAATGCGTGGCGTATTAAAGTTATACTTTTTCTTATGGGAAACCCTGTATTTCATTGTATTTTCGCATTCTCCGTTGTGAGCTGATTTCATCATTGCATCATATTGGGGTCTAGCGAGAATGATTACAGAGATATAGGGTGTTCAAAATCGAGATTTTTCAACTTTAGGATTCT